TCCTCTGGGAACCCCAAAACTGATGCGCGCGTGTGAATAAAAAAAAAGTTTTGCAAAAAAAAAAAAGTTGCTTTCACTATGAAATCTACGTGGTCAAGAAGGTGGAACAAATGGCACAGAATATGTTATGGCGAATAATCTACTCTTCGAATTCATTTCTTTACATTTTTGTCTTTTTTTCCTTTGATTTTGACCTTCTACGACATTGGTATCGTTTCTAAATGTTTTCCTTGCAACTAATGGTATATTTTTGCCCATTCAGCAACTGTTTTGCACGATTTACAGTATGGTTGAAAACTTTTTTTTTTTTGGAAACGGCCGAAAATTCATGCGCGCGCGGATGTCATCCATATAATCAAATCAACATGGCCTAAGCAGGATAGGCTTACAGCTTGTAGAAGAACAGAATTGAATTGGTACATAGGTACGTTCCTAGCGTACTGCGGCAGATCTCGTCTGAAGATGTCAGAATGGCTCGATGAAAAAATGGAGACGGGAAGCAAAATATATACTGTTTCGCACGCGGCTGGCTGGTAAGTTGACCTCAATATCCACTTACTGGATAAGGTCGTAACAAGGCAAAGCTAAGCAGGATTGTTTCCCACGGACACATCAAAGAGCAGATCGGCACTTTATCCTGAAGGGCCAATCAGGGAGGAATTTACCTTCTGGCCTCTCACGCCTGTGCAGTCAGAGACAAAGGGGCGGTAGCAGCAAAGGAGGGCATATCATCTTGAGTGCACGTGTTTATGCGAATGACTTTCAGCGCCAGTAAAACGACTTTTAAAAATTTATCCAAGACAAAAGAGAAGATAGAGAGCATAAATTGCTAAGCTGGAATGCACTTTGTTGTGTCATATTTTCCATAAGTTGAAGTCTGAATACAGGGCGAACATCAGTACTAGTGATTGTAGCCGTAAAACCCCCGGAAAGACCCTTTAGGCAATCCCAGACTTTATTGCGCACTGTGTGTTGACTGGAGAAGGTCAGTCGTCGTTTGACAAAAAGTGCCCAAATCTCTGTATCCCAGGACGGGCTCAGGTTGTCAACGTTTTGTGAACCTTCCTAAATGTGCGATAGTCACTCGAATACTGCTGTTACGCCACGCCCGTCTGTTGTTAACAAAAAAATCGTGCCCGAATTGAAGTTGACCATACAGGCAAACGTATACTCATTCATAAAGTTCATTCATTCATATCATATGTATACAGCGCTGTACATTGGATGAGGGGTCTGTATGGGGGTTACATGGAATTTAGAAAAGGATTATTGCAGAAAAGACAGCTGAGGTAATGTAGCTAAAAGTCAGGTGATTTTGTATCCCCAAAAATATTATCTATCAGAACATAATGGGCATGGATTTCTATTTGGATATCTATGCGTTTATGGTGCCGGGTGAGGAATATAGTACCGGGTACTACCAGGTATAGAGCATTAAAACTTCCATTGCCAATTTTATTTGTGAGGTTTAGAGATTTTAAAAGCAAGTCATGAGACATCAGCACAATTCAACATCTACATAATATATGTTTGATTCCAACTCTACTAGGTACCCCGACATGTGTATCCAAGCGTCAAACCTTGTCGCAGTGGGAGGGGAGATTACCCAGCAGAGCGAGGACTGTCTGTACCTGAGCGTGTGGCAGCCCGACCCAGTCCCGACCCGAGCCGCAGTCATGGTCTGGATTCACGGCGGCGGGTTCAGGACGTAAGGAGAGAACATTAACAACCTTGTATTCAGAAGTAGTTAGTGTCTTTGGTGGTTTTGTATCTTTGCCTGCACAGAAAAGGTTGACAGCACGTGGGCGGGGATAATTGACAGGCAGAATCCCGGTAGAGGGGGTATTCCGTTGAGGAAAAGCTTCCGCAAATGTTATAGGCATCTCTACGGTCAGTCGTTTTGTGCATCTGAGCTGTGTTTTTGTGTTTGTCCGCATAGATAGGCTGACTGCTGGTGCGTGGGGGAAGATTGACAGACAGAATGATAGGAGGTGAAAGGTCTCAAAATCTAGCCGATCAACAAAATTTGGGCAGCCTGTGAGAATTGCGTACTTGCTAGAAGTATGATTTTTTTTTATTTCAGACTTGACAATGTCGAACCATTTTCCCTTTTGGCACTTGTAAAACTCGATTATCGTTTGATATTTCTAGTGGCTCGTCTGCGCAGTACACAGGGAAGTATCTGACCGCAGCTGAAGGAGTGATCGTGGTGACCGTCAACTACCGAGTCGGTCCGCTGGGATTCCTGTGCACAGGAACTGATGACGCGCCCGGAAACATGGGTCTGACGGACCAGCTCCTGGCCCTGCAGTGGGTACAGGACAACATACCGTCTTTCGGGGGCGATGCCTCCCGGGTGACCATTTTCGGTCACAGTGCGGGTGCGTCAAGTGTAGGTTTCCATCTCCTGTCACCGGCAAGCAGAAACGTCTTCAGCCGGGCTATTTTGCAGAGTGGTACCGCCGTGTTACCGGGTATGCTCGACACCATGTCCGACGCTACTGACAAGGCCACGGGGTTTTCTGAAAGCCTCGGCTGTCCAACAGAACACGGTGCAACAGCGCTACTGACCTGCCTGCGGTCTCGGGATGAACAGCAGTTTGCGACGTTCACCATGTTCCAGCCGGTTGTGGACAACAACTTCATCCCTACAAACCCGTCGGATGCCCTTAACCATGGCATGTTCAAAAAGGCCGACATTCTGATCGGGACCAATCCAAACGAATTTGTCTTCTTCTTTAGCATCCTCGGCATTCCTGGTTTCAGCGTCGGCTCGGAAAGTACGGTCGACAGAGAGCAGTTCTTACAAACTATGAACGCAGGCATGATACGAGTACCAGAGCTCAATGCATTAGCATTGGAGGCGGTAGAGTTCCAGTATACAGACTGGCTACACCCTGACAAAGACACAAGGTACCGGGACATCCTTGACGCCGCAAGGGGAGACTACTCCTTCGTCTGCCCGGCTGTTACCACGGCCCGCGCCCATGCCCGACACGGCGCCGCGGTGTACATGTACCGGTTTGCTCATCGCGTCACGGCGTCGCCCTGGCCCGACTGGGTTGTGGCGACCCACGGTGACGAACTCCAGTTCGTGTTCGGACTGCCCACCATCCCTGATGTCGGCTACAGTACAGAGGACGCCGCAGTGTCCCACACCGTGATGCGATACTGGGCAAACTTCGCCAAAACAGGGTAAATGTCTTTTCAAAGTAAACAGGTTCCAAATGCCAGGTTCTGGTTTAAATTTAGCTGATGGTTTAACTACTGATGTAGCTAATATAGCTAATATAACCATAATGTGCAAGTCATAGTAAAAGAGGCATACCTTTTACTTCCGGGTACAGCAAGCCTTAAAATTGGTAATTTCTTATAGCTGAGCTGTGTGCTCGTGTACTTTTTTGTCCTAAAAGAGCAGGTTGGCAGCACGCGGGCTAGGGGAGATTGACAGGAAGAATGACAGGAGATCATCAGAATCTGACCGGGGGGCGAGCGAAAACTGGAGGTGGACATAGGGGCATTTTCAGGCAACGGCGCAAGTCTCAAGTCTCCGATTACTTATTTACTTTTGCATATACTATAACCTGTGGTTGGATTTTATCGCACTTTTAGCAATCCAAACAACGACAGCGACAACAACTTTAACGGGCCAGTGTGGAGCGCCTTCACGGAGACTGACAGAGCCTACATGTTTCTGGACGGGAGCGGGCCGAGGATGATGGGCGGTCTGAAGACTACTGAATGTGCCCTGTGGGACGTCTACGTGCCATCACTCATCAACAAAACAGGTATCCATGAGAAATGAAGGTGTTGCTTTTGGTCCTGCGTGTGTCTGTGTTTCCGTATATTTGTGGTCAGCATAACTTAAGAAGGCATTTGGATTGTGATGATAATTCGTATCTGGAAGGGTGTTAGAAAGACAACGGTTAAGATCAAATTTGGGCCTCCTGGTAGCTGACATATGTTACTGCATCTGAACTTCCGTTTTTCGTATCTTTTGCCCTTTTCAATTAAAAGGTCAGAAACAAGAAACGGAGTGAACGTGAAGATCTCAAAATTTGGGCAGCCATGACATGATTCAAAAAGCCATGAGTTACATATTTTTGGAACTCTAAAATCCCTCCGATTTCTTGATTTTAAAGCAGGGTTTTTAGGTGAACATTTCCCTTTGCAGATCCACAAGACCCGGTGACGCCGGAGCCCGCCCAGTGCCAGACAACTGCAGAAGTTTCCCTCCCAACAGTTTGGGGTCAGAGTCTGACACTGGCGCTTTTCTTCAGCTTCATCAAGGACGTCCTCAGCTTCATCACGGCCATCCTCGCTGTGTAGGAGATGATAACTGAAACTTAGTGATACAGGCTGGCCAGATAGTAATGATAAGCCGTACGTGGTAGTACCTTAGTACCGAATCTGGATAATAGATGGCTCTTTTTATTCACGACAGCTGCAAATGACAACATCAACTTCGCTATGACCATCTTGGTGATGTAAAAGTTGGTGACCGGAACTGAACGAACTTTTGCCAATGTTAAAGCTCCGTTAGGCTGAAGAAATTGTACTACTGGGTGTTACATAGAATAGAGTTTTGGAATAAATCATTAGAATTTGATTCAGCCTGTGTCTTAGAGTGCTCATTCAGACGGGGCCACATGAATCCTGCGTATGTGGCTTCCGCGGCCGGGTTCAATGTCCTTTCGGCTTAACGTGAAGAGAGCGTTATGTGTGAAAAGGTTAAGTGTGACATGTCGTTCAGGGTAATATAATTCTTGAACCAGCTTTGCCGGGGCACGTGCCTGGGAAGCTCGTGTGTTACGCCGAAGGCTGCTTACACTGGCTCCATAGTACAGATAGCGACCCATTTCGTAATTGCTCATACGATTCTATTACAGGCTTGCAGGGGTTCACGCTAATTGGCTTAAATTACACTCGTTCCTGTTGGAAACTTTGTTACTTAAAGGGCGTTCCTTGTGTAATGATATAGGATGGAAAGGTAATAGCCAGGTGTGCCTGTAATTACGACGCTGCCACGTGGTAATTATATCAGCTTGTGCGCTAACTCGGCAATCATAGCTGCACGTGGCAATTAGATTTCATACGTTCGTCATCATCGTTAAGTCTTATCACCATAGAAATCATCAAAAGAGACACTGAGAGAAAATTGTTATATTCCAAGATTTTTCTTTCATTTCAAGATCATAAAAGTAAAATACATGTGATTTTTGTACCCTTTTTCATGAAATTGCAACTGCTTATCACATTTTCCTGATAGGTTCTACAACAAAAATGTATGTATCAAAGCTCAATTTTACCTCAGACAAATCGAAAAATCTAGTTTTAAACCCTGACAGTGTATATCCTAAAATGAATTCAAAGTATGCCTGCGGAACCATCCCTGGACCATGCTCAGACACGACTCGTGATAGTCCACGCGTATCAAGAACCGAGCCTGGGGCAAACCTACGTTTGAATACGCGTAAACTATCAAAAAATGTGCATAAACCCAACCCATCCAGACACAAACATTATTTAGATAGGTACGGTTCTGGTTACGATAGTTCGTAGTGCCAATTTATTTGGAATTTTTATTCGAATTCCCGATTCCAGCGGTAGTGCATGCGGCGCCCGGCCCTTCCCTTAGCGAGCAGGGGCCTGGGCTGCAGCAGAAGGTACCGGAGACCGTGGCCGAAGCTGCGCAGCTTGAAGCGCGGAGCTCTAGATCTCTTGGCGACGCCACCAGGGACGGAGCCATCCAGGGTGTAGACACCGTCGTTGGCTGGTTCCCATTCAACATCAGGTAGGACGGGCATGGGAGCGAGGTCGCTGAAGATGTCGGAATTTTCGTCGGCGGATGATTCGGGCCACCAGGGGTCGCGACCGACGGCGAATGTCCCGCCAAGTAGACACAGTACGATAAACATCGTTTTCATCGTGATTCTGAAGTCTGGAAACAGAAAATAAAGATAATCTCAAACTTTTATCTTAGACCACAATGCCTAGCACTTTCATTGCGGGGTCTGCAGAGTGCTCGACCAGGAGGCCCCGAGTTCAAATCCTGTTATGCCATCGATCTTAGGGAAAGGCAATTTACACGACTTTCCTCACTTAACTCTGGTGAAAATGAGTATTGCCTATTGTCCTCTGTTGGTGGTAGCATAAAAATTAGTTGAAAAAACTCGAGTGCGCCGTCACCACGTCTTCCATGAAAAAAGCAAACAAAAAAAGTACCTCACATCGCACATGCGGAATCTAAACTGGCTTGTTCATATGATCCCTGATGATTCACAGGGTTTTTTTTTGTCCCAAAACGCAGGTGCCGTCAAGCAAAAATAATTGATACACCTCCAAAGCTTTTGCGGCTAACAAGCCTGTTTTAATGAGGAGGAAAATGGTTATCACTAGAATGTCTCATTTTGGGTACTGCTAATGAGGGACTTAGAGTGGAAGTACACCTACGCACAGCACAGTACAGGAAATCAACAAAACACTTCAGGCTGGCGCTGTTCTGTTCAAGATTGACTTCTGGGATAGCAAATTTGACTCACAAAAAAATGACATAAAAGTGAGATTAAAAAGTTCCATATGTTCATACTCGTACATCTACAACTGTCTGAAGTAGCAAAAAAATAAAAACCTGTAGTTAGTGTATAGATATAGTAAGTTGCCACGTTCTATATACATGTTGTGTAATAATATCACTGTCATCGTACCACCATGACCTGTGTAAGTACTTAGCTTGTAAGAACATAAGCTTACAATAAAGATGTTTCACTACAAAAAAGGGGTTATACCGCATTACGGCTGGCCATAGTTACAATCTGACTCAAACGCTCACACAGGTACATCTTAATTAAATTTTATGTCACCACTGTGGTAACCAGATCTCCCATAGCCTCCCTGTATCTCTCTAATTGGGTGGAAGTGTTGTCCGCCCATCCATGCCCAGGCTTATTATTAGCGCACGTCGTTTTTCAATTACTGGAGGCCAGGAATCAGATACATGTAGGCCGGTAGGAAAGAGGCCTTCCTGACTGCTTGAGGAGTTAGGCCAGTAACTGATATTGACACCTACTGCCCACATTATCAGCACATTTGTATCAGTATGTCACACTGTGGACATTTGAAACAGCACAGAATAAAGCACCAAGACGGTCCGTTATTTTCTGGATAGTATCCTGTAAATGAGCCCAGGATTTTCATTGATTTCTCGTCAATCAACAACGTAGCAGTTTTGCTCCATGAATGTCAATATACATTGGAATAGTGTACTTTCAATTTTGAATAGAATTGACTTTGAAAAATTTTGGTGTTCGGCGCCCTAAAACTGCACTGATCCCATTTAAAGGCCAAAGGCGGTTGAAAAAAAATTGTTGAAGAAATTTTGAGACAAGACCAAACCTTGTGAGAATTATGAATATTAAGATTAATACTAACCTGATGTTTCCCTTGAGTTGTGATGGATGATTGAGTCACACAGTCGGCTGCACTAGTCCTTTCCTGCGGAAGGAAATATGCAGTTAAGAGTTATCTCCGGTGATGATGAGGCTTAAGTTAATGTAATTCTTGAGTGCCAATTGGGTTATACCAAAACCCTGTTAGAAGGTATGATGTGTTTAAAGTCGTTTGCTGTACCCGGTATATTACTGTATGTACAGTGGCGTAGTCCTCGACCGGACTCTGAATTCGGAAGGCCCTTGCCGCTTTTTCATTCTAAATTCTTTGACGAAAACCCACTGTGCACTATGGCGCTACCCTCAAGGAAGTTAACTCCTTGCTACCTGTTGGGATCCTGTGGTTTTTGCAGTGCCTTGGAAATTTCATTCTGTGCGGATGTTATCACAATTAGATTCGGTCGCCAGGATCCCGGTTGATTTTAACTTCCTTTAAAAAAAATCCAGGACCCCCCGTTCCCCAAAAAGAGTCCGGCAACGTGGGCGGCCGAACTAGCCTTTAAAAGACCCGACGGGGCGCCGTTTCCTTAAAATATATTATAGGACCTAAGCAAAAGTCTAGGTGCATGAAAATGGGTCATATGTTAGAAAATTGGTCCTTTGTAATAGTAATTACGAACGGCATAGTCAATAAATAGCACCCAGATGACAGTCATTTTCGATGTATCAAACGGACAAGTTCTGAGATAAGTACCCTTTACGTACATCTGACGAGTTTGCGGCACGATCAGTTCACATTGCATTTAATAAAAGTCTATTTATACATGATATATGTAATTCAGATACAAGAAACTCGTATCAAAACATCTTTTAACTTCCGTGGATAATTTGTCGCGGGATGGACCGTCAGAAAAGAAAAGATCAAACGCGTAGTTTGTCGTCGGTGTCTACCCTCATACTGGTGGCTCATTTCTAGTGCACGCTCCAGAAAAACGAATCTGTTTGACGATACCAAATTTGTCTAAACCTTCTAGATTCAATCAAGATGTACAGTTCACATTAAGAAGAATGAAACCACGAGCTTATTAACACAGATCTGTATTTGCTGCTTGCTCTTGAAGGCATCCGATGAAATTTTAGGACGGCACAAAAAAAAAACGAGACCAAGACCAATAATATTCCGGATGGGGAAATCTGTCAGATATTGATATTTACTGCCATTTAAGCACATTTTCATAATTAATCGGGTGACAGTGTATTGCTCCGATTCATTGACACTAACCAAATCCCTGTCCAATAAATTAGACGGAAACTACTCGCGCCTGCTTCGGTTCGCACTGAACGTTCCCTGGCAGAGCCGCATTAATACAAAAAAACTCTACAGTGGTCTACCCCCGATCACTAAGACCATTCAGAACCGAGGACTGGCCCTTGCCGGTCATGTGGTACGCCACGAGGAGATGGCCGCCTAAGTACTCATTTGGCAACCGGACGCAAAAAGAAGGAGAGGTCGACCTCCTGACCATGAGTGAAGTGTGTGAAAGGATATATTGATCGGCACGTCGTTCCACAAGGAGGACCTGACCTAAACTGAACTCATACTTGAAGCATTTAAAATAGCCCCAAAACTACATGAGGCGTCTCTTTCTTTTTTGGGTACGACCGATAAACTGCTACGATGCAAAAGCTACCGACCGTTTTTGTCTCACAGGTATCAATTTGCTATGGGGTAGGGTTAATTCAACTTACTACAATAAAATGATGACAAGAAAATTGACTTTGAAAATCCAGCCCTAGCATTGAAATTGCATTGGGTGCCTCTAAGTCCCAGCTAGATACATCGTGCGAAGCGCATGCAGTTGAGTTTTTTTTTCCGCGCCGTGCCGTACACCGTAGATTTGGGAAGAATCGCACTGAACGTTCTCAAAATTCAACTTTTACCCATTACAGCCATTTCTTCTTACATCATAGGAAAGAAATACAATGATGTCTTTTAGAAAAAATATCATCTTACGAGCATTGTCGCTGTTTGTGACCAGGCGTTACGATGCAGATAATTAAAAAATTACAAACATGAAACTGCAGCGGCACCTGCATAATCTTTTTTCCTAAATTAGCTTTACTTTTATGGACAGTTAAGCAAAGTAGATCGAATGTTCCTTCTTACTATAAAGTTAGAATTTCCCAGAAGGACGCATCTTACCTTTTCTTTCAAAACGAGCAGAAGCTTCCCTGCGATCGGCCGTTTCGGAGCTGATTCTACAGCAAACTACACAAAAACCCTAGAGGTCTCCCACTCTATACGTGTGACGTCTGTGACGCTGTGACGCTGTGACGTTAGGGCGTCTGTACGTACATCCGCGCAATCGTATCGTAAATTGATCTCTCATTAGATTTAAGATCGAATGTGTCGTAAAGCATTTTAGACAGTACGAGTTAACCATTGTCAGATCAAAGCTCGCGGTGCGTGGTAGGAAGCGTTTATAGTGAGTAATTTTTCTTTGAAGTTAAGCTTGCAAGAAGGTCCTTATGTTTGGCACTGCGTCAGAAACCATTAGAAAATGGATTTCTAATTCTCCATATGATTACAAAAAAGGGATTGTTTCATATGACGCACGTCAGATGACGCATGTTGCTAATTCCCAAATCGGGCAAATCCAAAAAACAACTTCGTTAAAAATCAATAAAATTGGAAATTTTAATTTCCCAAATGATCATGAAGAAAATAACATTTCCTCTGAGGTATACACACAACCGTGAAAACACAATAGGGAACAGGTGCTTTGTCAAATGACGTATTTTGCTAATTCCCAAAACTGTTTCTTAAGGAATCAAAGTCATGAAAACCACTGCAGCCAAAAGACCAGTTCTCCCATGAGATTTATAGAGTCAAAGGACGCATTTTACTATAAATATAATTTCCAAAGACGGTCACGAAGGACAAAACATTGGCAAAACGGTTTTCCTCTGCGAAATTAAATGACCTTTCGGAAACTATCAGATTGAGACGCAGCTGCGAAAGATAGGGGTCCTTTATTAAGATTAATTAGAAAACCGGACGTTAACGCGTGTTTCACTGACAAAACCAACCGCATGAATGGATCAACTTGTTGTAAAACTTCAGCTGAAAAAATGTCATTTGATACTATCACTAGCATGCAAAACAGCAAAATAACGAGCAAGCCATATTGAACAGCGCACAAACAAGCTTCAGGTAACTAGTTCATAACCACCCATCTTGATTGATACAATTGCAATGGGAATTTTCCTGAATGAAATGGCAAATTTAACATCCTGGTGTAGGATGAAGATGGATTAAAAAATCTAAGAGTAAAAAAATCATACTGATGCATGATAAAAGAATTAATGTTCTTTGCCGTAGAATATCGATGATTTGGGTCTATGCTGTCCGACCCTGGTGGTCCATTATGAGAGCAACCTTGTTCCCATATATGTGCCTACAATTAACAACTTTCCCCCACGACAGTCGTCATGTATAAGTGGGTACACGTGTGTAAGGGTCTTCCATTGATTGACGTCCATTAAGCTTATAAGACAGTGTCACTGCGTTTATCACAGAGCAATTCTTTCTGCTTCCATATTCACAGTGCCGGAATAAATGGGGTCATCCGGACTAAAGTCAAAGGCATTACATGTGATTTTAGGGCGGCAGTAGAAGAAATGTTGGATGAGGAAATCTGTCTCATATTCACATTTACTGCTATTTCTATACTAGCACATTTTCATCATCATTTCATGTTTGAAGCAATTGAAATAGTACGTTACGTTCCTTTGATTTTCAGTCATTATTCATTTCGATTTTTGGTACCACCAATAACTAGATAGATAGATCCACCCTACGATACAAAGCACGTCACTGTTTTCCATGCCTCACAGATATCAGACTATGTTATGGCCATAGGTTTAATGTAACTACATTACATTGCTACATTCAAAAGAATATGAATTTTAAAATCCAGTTTTATTTCCATGAAATCGCTTTGGGCGCATTTAAAATGGGACATGTCGGCTTTAATCGTTTTGTGGCCGTGTTAATGTACTTCCGCTGCGTCTCCTGTCGTTTAAAGCACTCAGGGAGCACTGTCCGTTTTATAGGGGCACTTAAGGCAGAACATGGGCGTTATTTTCCAAGAGATGGAACGTCAGGAGACTTTTGTCGAAATTGTGCGTCGTGTATTTTGTGACATTACATCAGTATCAGTCTTAACTCATGCATTCCCTATACGTGGTGCGCTTCACTTCATCTTATCTTCACCACATATCCAGACCGATTTCGGTGAAGTACATTAGATAATGTCATTCCAGTACTTTCTGTCCTTCATAGCGGACACCAGGGCAGACCCTGTGAGACTGATGTCTCTTTCAATCATTCACAATAAAGTACGTAGTATGTGGTCATCCAACCCTGCGTTTTTCAGCATAGTACCTAAAAAGAGAATTAGTCTCCTAGCAGGTTCCTAGATATCAGAAATTGTTCCAAGAACGTTCCTGGATATATACACATTCTACTTCCTCTCGCTTCTTGTTAATTACATAAATCTAGTTTACTGTCTGATTAGTTAGAGTTGATTTGTCAAAGGCTGTAACTTTATATGATGTTTTTTTTAATAATTTTTTTAAATTTAGGACTAGTGGGTATTTCATTGCATACGGTGTGAAGTACTGCTACTTATAGTATGCATTTTAGTGACGGAGGATCGAGAAGATTCTATTAGGCTTGAGCCCCAAAGCATCTGCAAACCACTGAACCAATGCCTGACTTCGGAACGGATTGGCTGGTGGTTGGGCTGAGTGGGGCATTAGTCGGGACGCGTTCAAATTTCACTCAAATTTCTCTCAGATTTGATTTGATTTGATTTGATTACTGACGAAAGGTAGGCTCCCGAACTGCAGCCAGCCTTGGTTGGTTGGCAGTTGGAGGAAGATTCTGAATGTGTGACAGAGGTGTGACAGAGGCTTCACACTGGCACTCGTGACACTCGTGACACTGTAAGCAGGTAGTGTTTCGTTCATTGTGACCTTTGACCCAACATGGCGACCGGTGGAAACACAGAAACAGTTCGGAGAAGTTTGGACCACTCGTTTCACGCTAACACCGTTCTGTGCGCTCTGAACGAGCAGAGAATCCAGGAGAAGTTCTGCGATGTAGTTCTGGAAGTAGAGGGGCGGAAGATCCCGGCTCACCGTAACGTCCTGGCCGCCTGTAGCCCCTACTTTGACGCCATGTTCGGTGGAAACTTGGCCGAAAGTCGCAGCAGTCAGGTAACTAACGACTAGTCGACTTTAGTGAGTGAACCAAGGAGGTTAAAGATTCATCAACATGTACAGCTCCTTGAGTGAATATTAAAGAATAAAATGTGATAAATTTAATTGAGCTATGTAGCGCATAAAGCCTTGGTATAGTGAATGATAAACCCTATATGCCATTTTCAGGGTTAACGGTTAGCAAAACTCAAAGTCAATTTTCATTTCATTTTTCAATGTGCGTGTACAGTGTATTGCAATATGTCAACATAATACATGAACAAAAGGCTAGACATGGACTGTTTACAAGTTTGATAGGGACCTTCAGATTTTACCTCACACGTTTGGGCCAAGTCTCAATCAGCTTTGTGTGCATTTCTGCAGTGCCAGTCTAACCTGTAAGAGGTTGCTTGCCATTAGTCAACTTTGCCATCACTGATTCCAGTGTTCTCACTGAAATATAATATTGTAACATTGTTGTCTTCTTTTAGGTGACACTGACTGAGGTCAGCCCTGAAGCAGTGAGTAAAGTCATTGAGTACATGTACAAGGGACAAGTTCAGGTGGACCCAAAACATGCAGAAGAACTGCTTCATGTATCTGACCTCTTCCTTATAACAGAACTAAAGCTAGAATGCCAGGATATCCTCCAGAACATGCTGGACTCCAACGATGCCGTCCAGTGCCTTCGAATCCGAAATCTGGCAAAGATTTACAACATGACAACGCTGGAAGAGAAGGCCATGACTTTTGTACGCCAAAACTTCAGTGAGATCGCGAAGAGAGAGGACATCCTACAAACATCTATTGAAGACATGCGAACACTCTTGTCCGACGACCACCTACAAGTCGAAAGCGAAGAGTCCATCCTTGAACTTATTCTACGATGGATTCAATCTGACAAAACTAACCGGGAACAGTACCTTACTGAGCTAGTCAAACTTGTTCGGTATGGCGACGTCAACAAAGACTTCCTGTCAAAAGTCAGGATGGAGGACTTGGTACGTGAGAGTGAAGAATGCCAACTGCTTATTGACGACATCATGTCCAAGTTCAGAACTGAACTAGAGGCAATCCCTGGTATGAAGACAAGAGGGGGGAGGTTGAAGGAAGTTTTGATGATGGCTGGTGGTTATCTCACCTCAGCTGCGGTGAGGTTTCCGATACAGTACAGCCAGGCGTATGTAATAGAAGAAGGGAAATGGATGGGCCTTCCTCGGCTGCCCTCTGCACAAGGTGCTTACGGTATTGCTGCATGCCACAGACAAGCTTATTCAGTCGGAGGTCTGTTTGCTAGACCAGTCGGATCCAGAACCACAGCTATAGTCAGCAGTGTTAAAGCTTATCGTTACGACTCGTTGTCTAATACGTGGACACAGGTGGCAGATATGAATGCGCCAAGGGCGTATCCGGGGGTGGCGGCTTGTGGGGGGTATGTGTACGCTATCGGGGGGCTGAGTTCTGGGGGGCTTCATCGTAACAACACCGTGGAGAGATACAGCCCCAAAGAGGACCAATGGCAGCATGTCGCATCCATGAACAGTGCTCGCTTCAGTGTGGCGACTGTTGTCAAGGATGATCGGTAGGTTTAGTGTTTAACTTTACAACAGTACCTTTGTAAAGGTATGCTAGTTACACCTTAAGTTAGTGTTTGTATTATATGGATTATTTAACCTTCTCCCTAGGCCTGCAGCGCTTAACCCAGAGAGTAATGCAAATGTAAGTGACTTTTCTGAAAGAGTTGTCTTGGTCTATAAGTTGCTTTTATCAAGTTTAGTCCGTAGGTCATAGCATTGCATTGCAACAGGTATTTTCTAGAGACAAGTCCACCATTAAAAGGCATGAATGTCCACATACATTTAACAGTAAAATACATCCAGTATGTTGAGTTTTTTTCAGTATCTAGCAGTGTTGTATTGTAATGGTAAATCCATATTATATATGCTGCCCTTCACAGGTATATCTACTGCATCAGTGGGAAGGAGACCGCAGTGACCACCAGTCAGTCAGTAGAAGTGTACGACACCGAGACTAACAGATGGAGATGTCTACCCCGTGCACCAATCACGTTCGAGGAGGTACCCTTCGCAGAAGTCCACCCCGGGGATGGTATGATCCACGTCTACAGTATCGGCCAATCAGAGTGTGTTTTTGACCCCAAGAGCGAACTGTGGACAGTCGTATCGGATGGTCCAATTCCACATCTTCCTGACAGTTCAGTTAGAAGGAAGGCGGCTGTACACGTTGAAAAGGGAGTGATTCACGTGTGGGGAGGGCATGACAGAAACAACAGCAACACAATATATTCCAATGGGTTTGTGTATAGAGATGGAACATGGACAGCTATGAATGCTGGTGGGATCGCTACCATGTCAGCAGCCTTCTGCAAGCTCAAACTACCAGTAGAGTTTCTGAGAGGACTACATGGCAAACAGTGAAGATGACAGTTTTTTACATGACTTACAAATTCATGCATCTTTTTACTTTCGGGTCTGGAAGTATTGATTATTTTGGGTGGCTGAGCTGAGACTTTGTGTACCTGTTTGTCTGAACAGAGTAGGTTGACAGCACATATGGCAGGGGAATGATTGACAGGCAACAGGACAGAGTAAAAAGGTCAGACACAGGATGTGGGGGGGGGTCATGAATGGCTTAGAATCTGTCCTGGAGCAAGCATGAAGTTGTGGTTGGCAGGGGGGAATTCAGGAAGCTGAGTCTTCTATACCTGAAGTTGGAGGAGGTTAATTATGAGGGTTTTTTTTTGCTTCAGGCAAACACTAAATCAAGCAATTCCGCTACCCAAATAAACATTACCATTGTACAGTAACTGCTTTATTACATTCCACTTTTTAAAGACTTACTACCATTATACAGTTACTGTTTAATTACATTCCAGTCTTTTTTTTTCAAGATTTACTACCATTGTACAGTTCACTGCTTCATTACAGACCAGTCAATTTTTCCAAATTTACTACCACTGTACTTTTTTATTACATTTCAGTTGCTATTTGATATTTTACCACCATTGTACAGTTATTTTTTTATAACATTCAAGTTGCTATTTTAAAATTTCCGACCATCGCACATCACTCCAGTCATGTTTCCTTACATTCCTGTCAATTTTTCAAAATTTACTACCATTGTACAGTTACTGTTCCATTACTTTCCGGTCACTTAGGCCACACCAATTTAATTTGTTGGTTCTCGGATTCGCCTCTTCATTTTTTTCTGAATCTGGTTCTGAATCAACTCAAAAATGCTCATATTTTGTCCCCAACAGTTGAGGAAATTCCTTTTCTTCCTAGTTGTTACAGTTTTTTCCATCTATCAATGCAGTGGTTTGATTAAAAGTTCAAAATTTATACTTTAAATTTTAACCCAGCCTTTTTTGTTGACTTCATGGCTCATATTGTAGCATTTGGGGCTATAATAGGATGCCTAGACCTGTTTTTATTTTATTTTTTTCGCCCTGTCGCTTCATATTTTTTCTGAAAAAATCCGAGAACCAACAAATTAAATTGGTGTGGCCTTAATCAAAATTCACTACCACCATACAGTGGTATTTTCATTGCATTCCAGTTAATATTTGGAAAATTTACTACTTTTGTACAGTTACTGGTTCATTACATTCCAGTCACTTTTTAAAAATCCACTACCATTGTACAGTTACTGTTTTACTACATTCCAGTACCTTTCTTTCCAAAAGTTACTACCATTGTACAGTTACTGTTCCATTACTTTCCAGTCACTCAATCAAAATTCAATACCACTGCATAGCACTATTTTAATTACATTCTAGTTGCTTTTTCAAAATTTGCTACCAATTCACAGTACTGCTTCATTACATTGAAGTCACTATTTTAGAATTTACTCCCATTGCACAGTACTGTTTTATCACTATTTAAAAATTTACTGCCATAAGGCATTGTACAGATACTGAAATTCCAGTCTTTTAAAATTTACATTGTACAGTTAAGTGTTTACAGCAGAGGGAGAAGAAGTAGAAGAAATATGAGTACAATCTCTATATATTTATTATTATTATATACATGTACATAATAATATATGCATTTCACCCATACACAAGGTTTGGACAGAAAATGGATATAATAAAGCTTAATCTGATCCCGAATCTGAAGTAACTGGAGATGCCTGACATAAGAAGTAAGTCGGTTTGTCGCATTTGTCATCATTCCATCTGTTTCCAAACCATGCATGGCCGGCGTAAAGAACGCAATCTTCGTTTCCTCCACCATCGTTTGGTTCTCCCTGAGCCCATGAGGTGTACTCCCCAAGTGGAGAACCATCAACCCACTCAAAGCGACCCTCTTTGCGCCGATCGTGCAGGCCAAACCAGAACAGTCTGCCGCTAACGGACCTGTACAGGGAGATGAGGAATTCGTTGGTCTCGGTGTCTCGGGGCATGGCGAGGGTGCCGCCGTCTGCACCACAGGTCGCGGCCGCTTCGTCGAAGGACTTCCTTATGTCGAAGACCTTGTAGCAGGTTCCACGAAATGTCTTGTAACCTCCGGGACAAGAAACTGGAAAGGGGAATATTCAAGGGAGATTTAAAAAGAACATTACGGACACACAATATATACTTTATCCAGATATCTAAACCATTAGAGTTAACATTACAACAGCTGACCCAACTTACGTAAAGTCTTCTTCATCTCTTGAAGACGTTGCTCCAAGGCTGTGGTTCGGCGTTGCTCAATGTCAAGGTCGCTCTTCAAGGCGTCAACAGTGGTGGACAGTTGACCTTTGTCGTCTTGGTCGCGTTGTAAAGCGTCAACGGCGGTGGATAGTTGACCTACGTCGTCTTGATGGCGTTTCAATGCGTTAGCATTGGTGCACATGTTGCCTTGGCCGTGCTTTAAGACGTCAACAGTGGCGGACATGTTGTCTTGGTTGTGCTTCAAGGCGCCAACAGTGGTGGCCAATTGAGATATTTCCTAGAGACGTATATTCGTAGGTTAGCTAAATGTAAGAAACAAATTCAGAAACAGCAGCAACTTCTGTTTTGATACCCCCAAAAAGAACTCATTTTTAAACATCTTGACAACAGGCTTGATGTTACAAGAGTACGAGTGTTCACCTGTTTGTTGATGAACGTCAGAGGGACGAGTCCCACAGCGGCCAAGCTCAGTAGCACGGCGATGCCGGTGGCCAGACAGCTGCGGTGGGACCGGATGAAGCTACGGAGACCGCGGCGGCCGACTGGTACTCCCGGATACGTGCGGTCTGGGAGAAAAACTTCTTTCGCTCAGGTTATATCTAATTTACGTCGACATACCGACTGGACAAATTAAAGAAAAAGCCCTTACCTCTCTAAAATTTAGCGCTTTTGTAAATTTCCACCAAATTTTAACATTTAAAAAAAATTATGCATTGTGATGTTCATCTTAATCTAACTGCGCCATGAACACAATATATAAATATAAAACTTTAAGTAATCACGAAGGAGTAATGGCGTTTTTATATGAATCATTCAAATGTGGCTTGTATGTCCATGTTTGGTTTTCTGTTTTTTTTTTATTCACCAGAAATTTTACATGTGTTGCTTGTATTAAGGGCACTCGGAAACACTGCTATCATAATGGTAGAACTTCCTTATATTGATTATTCAAATGAAGACCTATTTGCATAACATGCATCTAATTTCTACCTGTATGCTGAAATTCATTGACCCCTTCCTATGAAAAATTCCATGCAGTTCTGCTAGAAGACTGACAGAAGACGGAAATCTAGATCACTTTGCCATGATGTCAAAGGCTATTTGACCGTATCAGAGAAAAATATACACAGAAAACTTTAAGAATCATTTTAAATGTAAGTCTGACTTCCTTGTCATCGACTTTCCTGACACTGGAAGAACATGTGAATACGCAAATAACCAAACACCCTGAGTAACTTTTAGAAAATTCTTATAAATTATTACGGAATTCACAGAAGAAGGCAAGTTATGAAATCGTCGGCTACCTGCTGGCGTGTACGCTGCGGAACGTTTTACCGTCTCGGCGTTTTCGTACGTGTGCGAGGAAGTTTCGTCGTCTTCTCGCAACTTGCCATGGCGAACCGGCCCGGGTGGACCCGTCGGGTGGGCAGGCGGGGGTTGGGGCGCCGGGCGGCCGGTTTGACCGCTGCCGGGGCCCGAGAAACGTACAGGCTCTGCCTGCTGGTACATATTTGGACCTCTGAGTACAGACAACGGTACGTACCGGTGGCGCAGTGTATGAGTGTGAAAAAAATACATAAATGTAGCAAATAACGTATTCATTAGTCTGGAGAAGTATAATCCTATTCGTTGTTATATTGAGGCATGACGTGGCGACAGGCGTTACGTTGCTGGTAGCATTTTGTTTTTCTGCAGGCGGCAGACTGATTTTCGAAAGACATGTATTTTTTTTCTATCCCAACATTTATTATAAAACATTAGACATGGCGAATGTACACTCAAGTTTCTTTATCAACTTCTTTATGCCGTCACCAACGCAGACAACCGTATAAACGGACAACAGACATACTTTCTTTATTTATTAAAAATTCATCACAACAGTGAAAGGGACGGGGGAACAGGTGTAACACCTTTACCAGCCCTCGTCCCGATACAGCATACAGATACAATAGACTCAAGTATAAAATAATGAGTGATTTACATATACATTATACATAATGAAAAAGCTTAATATATACAGACTACCGAACCCTCAAATCCTGACAAGACGCGCACTTGCACGCAGTGGACCATGTACAGAGGTTGTCAGGTTCAAAGTGATGTTTAAATCTCTCAACAGCAGATTTCACAAGACAACGCTTAAAAGACAGTAAGTCAGACTGATTTGACGTCGAAGCCCCTTTGATGCGAACTGCGACGTCAAGCTTATTCCATTCAGTTACCAGACGTGGTATGTATGACATGGTAAATGTAGATGTCTTACATCGGCTTGGCATTAATATGTAAGACCGGTTACTCCTTGCTGGTCTGGTTGAAAAAGATACATATTCATACACGTTCAGTCATACATACTTGACAGGGACTTAACGAAAACCATGATGCCGGCTGTCGGCCGGCTTTCCTAAGAGCATAAGATCGGTGACATGGCACGTACGAAGATTCGAACTCGGGACCTTGGTTCCGAGCCGAGCGCTCTGTTGTTACGCCACTCGACCCCATCTTGCATTTATTTCTTGTGAGCTTTTACAGCTTTCCGCATGGTGGGGTTCGGGCAAGCAAGTAATATGATACGTCGATGAAGGTCAGACATCCAGGTAATACGATACGCCAAAAAGCAGTTACTCAAGCCGCTGGATATGATTTTGGAAACGGTCAGACGTTTCAGCTAGTATCCACTAGCTTTCGTCAGTAACTGCTTTTTGGCAAGTAATATGATATACTCTCTGTTCTGCATCATTGTTTCCTATATTTGTTTACTTGGAGGTGTCGATGGCCCCTAACCTCTTCACAATATATAGTTCGGGTATAATAGTACGGTACCAAACGTAGACGGTATTGAGACAGCGCTTAACGTAAATACAGTTTCCACCATATTTAGTCTTACTTGGTGCTGTATCCTTACGCCTAGATTCTCGTATCAACATCTTGAGTGATTCGGACATCCAATACGTACTTTGATAGTAACCTTTCGCCGAGTGCACTTTGAGTCAGATCAAGGCGCGTCGAAGTGAAACGACAGTAAGTGTTTGCGCGTCTTCGTTTTAAAGTAACTGCAAGGCATGCTAATGTTGTCTTTCAAATATCTCTTCACAATTTTGTTTCATGCGTACCTTATACCATGTTAAAAACTTGAAGCTCATGCAACTTTAGGTTCTAATTACAAAAATCCGTCTTTCTTCTACCGTAGGGGACTCAGCGTTACGCCATCTTTGTGCTTTCATTTTCGACTTTTAACCATCCGGTTCACTAATAACGAGGTATGTTTGTTTGTTTGCCTCTGTCTACTATGTAGTCAACGACTTATTTTAAAGCCAATGGCAAACTGCGGAAACCCTTCCTTTGGTATGTTTATGTTTTGTCATGTTTCCTTTTTTTTCAAAAGTGCATAAAAATAAAGACCTCCAAAGATTTCGTAAAACTGATGAAGACCTCCAATTCCAAAATTGCGTAAAAATTACTGTGAGCGGGTTTGTTTCCAGATGCCGTTAGACACGGTCCTGTGCCTGGACACGTCCGGCTCCATGGCGGGGAAGGGCATGCTGGAGCTGCGGAAAGCCGTGCGACAGTTCCTGACGGGCGTGGAGCAGACGGCGACTCAGACGGGGCTGAAGGAGAACGTGGCCGTGGTGGAGTTCGGAGGGGGAGTCCGGATCGTCCAACACCTCACCAACGACTACAGACGTGTGCAAAGGGCTGTTGGTAAGACCCTACCAGTGTAACTAAAACCGTAAAAGCATGGTTTAGGATAAAGCACGTACAGTTGTGGATAGTCTTCGCGTATACTGAAAAGATTTGCCCCAGGCACGGTTCCGGATATGCGACGCGGACTATCCAGAACAGTGCCTGAGCATGGTTCTGGATAAAGCACGGTTCTGGATACAACAGGCACCATTATCACTAGACAGCGATTGCCAGGCGACCATAAAGAGACCAAAATTAGATTTGTGCGACCCTTGATCATACCGTAATAGGCACATAATCTACGATGTTTGATGAAGCTAGCATCATTTAAAGATTCGATAAAATACATAAAACTTAACAAGACTGTTCTTGACGTAATGTATGCGTTTGTATTTTTTAACTGTCACGGCCTTTAATGGAAAGGGGTGAAAGATCGTTGATTCCTATATGAAACTCGTTAATGGTCATAACATAGCACTAGTGGAAAATGACAAAATACGACAGTGGAACTAAAACTGTATCTCGTTTTTATTACAGATAACCTGAAACCAGGAGGGACAACTCCGATGTTTGAAGGTTTGATGGAAGCACTGAAGGAACTTGTACAGAATGGTGAGTACTGAAATGGTCAAAGTTTATAAGAGGTTAACCTATTTTTGTCAGAATATCAATTTGTTGAAGTAAACAGTACATGCTAGTATTGATTTAGGAATAAACGAGGAGAGTAATTCAACTCAAGATATATACTTCTTAAGAAAAGGAAATTTACAAAGAAGGAGAGACGATTACGCACACTTAAGAAACCTGACCTTTTTAACTTAGAGTTCAAATATGAAGGGAGACATTTGAAGAACACTATATAGCTAGGTTATCATTTAAAAGAATGAATGTTTTCCTGCTATTGGTGTTTGATCTTTGTACAGTATGCTGCAGTTTTGGCAAAAACATCACAAAATAATCGAATGTCGCTGACATGGCAAACAGACCTTTGAACTCATCGTAGCAAAGCTGATAATCTTTGGACGCAATTGTGTCTGCAGAAGATAAGCACGAAACAATCAATTAGGGTAACTTCTATGTTTGACGATCCAGCTTTATACTTTTTGCCCGTGGAACGCCCACGCCATTCAACATAGACTGCGTTCCAGAAAAGGACTATTTTAAGTTTTTTTTTCAACTTGTGACATATGTATTTGAGAGTAGAACACTTTTAGCTTAACGCTTGATTATGTAAATGTGGACCTGATCTGCATGATAAATAATCAAATGCTACAGTTCCACCATACCAACTGCTTGTAAAAGTAAACATCATTAAACAAAACTCATTCAAATAATGACAGCATTTGCATATTGCATGAGGAAATGCTGCCCTTCCTTGTCCAGATAAGTCTGTCATCGGGTATAAAATATGATCGACTCAGATATGCAGTAACTTTGTGAAACGCACATTGCCTTCGGTAGGTGGCGTGCTTTTACTGCCTGGTGGGATCAGGATGACGCCTCGGGTCATCTTGATGACTGACGGAAGACCTGACGTAAGAAATAGGGGTTTAACACTCACGTGACTATGACGTCAGTTTTGTTATCCATACTGGATGGTTAAACCAGGAAGAACATTTTGTCTATCGTCTATACGTATAAATACGCAAATTCATAGGGATAACACTTTCTGGTTTAATTTATCCAACTTGCACAACGCCGAAGAATTCGTACAAACGCCGAAGAATTCGTACAAACGCCCCATAAAACAGCATATAGAATCACAGGATTATTGCTGTCAGTTGTATTCAGATCAAATGTGTTGCAATAATGGTACTGTGGAAATTAGAATGTTGTGATACAATTGTCATAGTGCTAAATAGATCTGCCAGTATACGCTATGTGCATGTAGTTTTTCCCTTTGGCAGGACAAGGAAAAAGTGATATTAGCAGCGGCTGCTTTCAGTCGCGAAGGCTACCAGCAGGTTGGGCTGCCCTATCCCGTACCCATCGCCTGTGTGGGCTGTGGCTCGGGGGTGGACGTGGTAAGACGGTCTCGCAGGATGATACAAATGTGTGTGTTAGTGTGTATGTGTGTGTGTATCTGTGTGCGTGTGTTTATGTGTATGTGTGTGTGCGTGCATGCGCGTGCGTGCGTGCATGCGCGCGCACGTGTGTGTATATGTGCGTGTGAATGTTATTATGTGTGTGTCCTTTTTGTATGTGGATGGACAATTTGTACTTTTTGTTATTATCATTATTTATTAATGTTATTGGTTACTGTTTTTCCTTTATTATTATTGCTATTATCATGATTTATTGTATCCCTATTTTACAGTTTGTATGTGACTGTTGTGTTTTGTTTGTACGACAGGGCCTCATTGAAAAGAAGTCCCAAAAAAGTGATTAAAATAGGAATTTTCCTTCTATTACTTTCTTCCCCAGCCTCTTCTGGCAGCCATTGCGGCCGCCACAAACGGAATGTTCGCTATCGGAGACGTCAGCGAGATGTCCGGATTTTTCCTCAAGCAGGTACGGAGGATCATTTGTACACACCATCTTATCAAGTTAACATAGCTTTTGAAAAAAAATATCATCAAAGAATTAACAACTTTTGAATAGTATACACGAAGTGAACAGCTATAAAAATCGACTTGCATCTCTCTGGAATTAATTGAACTCATATTTTGAAACTATAAATCACCATATGCATTTTCACATGTTTCGCGAATTTTTCCGCTTTGTAGGTTTTGCTTATTCGGTTTGCGCTGCAGTTTGCCCATGGTAAGTACAGTATCAAGTTGGAGGACTTTATTAACAGTACTTTTCGGTACTCATTCCTCACACACTGTTATATTATGCATACTAATATAAAATCACACCTATCACAGTACTTAGTCTGAGTTGGTTCACTTAAGTGGATTTATAGGTAAAATGACTTTCATTATTCGTTTCTTCGTGCAGACATGAACAAGTTGCGAAACTTGATTCTTCTGAGGCAGTTTTTGCAACAAATGGGAGAAAATGTCAGCGAGGAAGAGGCGGTAAGTTAAACAGTTGTTTTCATAGGCTGAAAAAACTTCTTCCTCAAATCTTTATATACCGTGTAATAACAACCAGGTGTTAGCCTGGGCGCACACCATTTGTTTTCAAATGTTTTATAGGACTGATGGCTTAAATCATTTGGAGTTGTAACCATATCAAATGTTGTTGCTTTCTTTATATATCCTTAATGAATAGATCGCCTTGCGGGCCCTTCTGCTTGCAATGATTGTTGTTGCCGCGGACGACTCTGATGATGACAGCCCACGTGTCATAACAGCCCAACCTTCAGTAAGCTATTGTCTATTCAAATATCTTGGTCACCTTCTACGTCATAAGAATGCAATGAAAGCTCTCTTCTGTGTAAATTTAGAAAGAAAATATAAACACATGAAATAGCCAAAACGCACTGTAAAAAACACTTGCTTTAATAAAATGATGTATTCATGCAGAAATGTAGTATGCAAGTTAGATGGCTTGGTTAATAATTAATGCCGTTAAACGTGTAACGAAGCTATGCATTGTTAATGCGCTAACACCAGTGTTTTGAGCGTATATTTGCACCAGGCACCATGCTGAGTTCTAGTCATACTTACGATATGCAAAAATTTGCAGGCTTCGTCTCGAATCGTCCTCACCGAAACTACACTGCTCAGAGAGTAAGATATTTTCTCGTTTTAGTTGTTTGACTCTGTATTGGCGAATGTATGTGTCTTAAGGACACTGGCATAAAGGGGGGGGGATCCAAACAGAGTCGTCCGCAGATTGACCTTAAGGTCAAGTTGGCAGGGCGGGGGTTGTGGGTCAACTCTCAAAGATACTTGGGGAAGACCCTCTCAGAACAAGCTCTTTGCATGCAAGGTTCCTGCTAGACCCATGAAAATTACGTCAGCCCATAAATTCACCAAAACTGTAAACACCACGGAGGTTTCAACTCTCCGATTTTTTGCTGTTTACTTACACAATTTTTTATGTAATGTACCTACCTACACCACAAGATGATCTGTCACAATGTGGTTACTCCTAGTCACTATAATTATATATATATATATATAATGCATATTTCATTTTCATGATATACAAGAAAAATATATAAGTCAATGTATTTCTTGCTTTGCTACATGTATGTTTATGGGCTACTAATTACATGTATAACTATCGAGTCTCACATTGAATAATGCACCTGACTGGATCTATGCTGAGTTGTGTTTTTTTTACCTTTAAAGTAACAGTGACCGTGACGAGATTAACCATTGCATGCACTGCTGCATCTCGCTGTTCTTCCCCCTATGGATCTGTGTCTGGTGTTACCTGGTAGGTTGAAAAGTGCTGAAAGAAAAACGTCCTAATTCATTTTATACTATAATGAAGTCGTTATCATTCAATGTGCAGCTTCTTGATACACAGTACATGATTGCTGCACTAGTTACATTGGGGCACATAAGTATTGTTTTGGGTGACAGCATTGTGGGTTTGTGTGATATCTGTCTGGACTGAGTAGGTTGATAGCACGTGGGTGGGGAAACGATTGACAGGCAAAAAAACACAGGAAATGAGGCGAACTTACAGGTCACAAAAATCCAAAATAATTACCAGAAGTCTGAAATCTCAGATTTGTTTCTGTGTGCACCCAACATTGCAATGCTGTATATAGGTATTAGCCGATATAACCGCCCTTCGGCGTAACACACCAGCTATATGAAGAGAATGTGTTGTTCTTTTTTTCAGTGCTGCAAGGAAGCAGAGGCACAGTGATTAGTGATAGAAGAGGCAACGTACTTGGACAACCCTTAGCTGTACAAGATACTAGTAGACTTCACACTAATCACAGTTCATGAGACTATTGTCTTATACAACATTTTCAAGCATTTGATCTTATGAATATGATTTCACGTAACTCAAACATTACCTTACCTAAGACAAACTCAGATACTTTTAATTTACTGATGTCATGTCCTGAACCAATATCCTTGTATATAGGCCAATTCATATCCTCTGCTCTTCAGAAAAGAAACAATATCATCTGTGACACCTTGAACTGATGTTAACATTGTATCCATGTTCCATATATATTGTATAATTCATCACTCACAATTATAGGGTAGCGTTAGAATAAGGTATCTAGAAGTAGATTTTAGTATTGTTGTTATCTCTTGATTTAAACACTTGCCATACATTGTATCCATTGCAATTGTTGCGCAATAAAGATTGATTGATTTGATCAATTGTATGATCCGTTTTTTTAGCACCATAATTTCCTATAACTTGTACCACAATGTCCCAGCAAGCCCTTTTAAAGAGTATGAGTGCATGGTGGAATGTGGTCTCTGATAGTGCCTCCTATACATATTTAGAAGTATTCTGAAATACATGGGGACATTAGACATCAAGACTGTTCTTTGTTTGACAATAGTAGATGTACCTTCAAGTTTATTATCAATTATCAGTAGTGCAGTAGGAATTTTAAAGGCATCTAATGCAATATTAGGGTGCTGGATTGCCAAAGTCAATTCTATGGACATCTTTAATGTAGTAAGTTGACTCAATGATATCCCATAGCATACTGATACCGTTGAGGCAAAAATTGTGACACTGCTGACAGAAAACAGTTGCTTGTTTTGTAGGCTGGTTATAGGTGGTACCAAAAATTTAAAGAGATGCCTCATGCATGTAGCTTGTTAAATTGTAAACCATGAAGATGCTGCAGCTATTACAATTATGATAATTATATGCATAAAAAACTAGAGAAGTTGAACTGTCTTCACAAAATGACAAAAATCTAAAGACAATTCCATTATGTGCGAAATATTGATTAATTAATTGCTAATATACACGATATGCCATGTATCTAACACAGCATCAGCAGACATAGATCATGCATTCTTTATAAATGTACATGTAACAGCTATATACATTTAGTTTTAAGTGATGGACCCCTTCAATCTAATTTTCAATGTAAATAAAATCTTGACTGAAGTGAAAATGAGAAAATAATTATTCAGGTAAAAAAATTGCGGTTTCAAGTTACTAGTATTATAAAAATATACATCATACTTTCATAGTGTACAGTACATTTGCTTCAATCTACTATTAGTTGTCAGATATCATTTATACAAGTCTGTTAGTCTGGTAGCCTCTCTCTTTCCAGAAATGAATGCCCCATGTGTTGTAGTGATGTAAGGTGTTATAGTAGCCTCTCCTGCAAACAGCACCTTCAAGATAAAAAAAAATCACATAAAGGTGTACATGTAGGTCCCATAGTATTTTAGGGACAGGGTGTCTAGCTAGGGCATGGTCCCTCTCTTTCCACTGCCTTTTACCTCCCAACCGAAGTTAGGTATTATTGTATACCTGTGCGGAGAGAGGAAAGCTGTGCCATTCCCAGGGACGCAATGTCTATGCCATGCAGAACTGCAAGGAATCAAAATGTGACCTGAGACCCCTCTGTCTCATTTATGCTATTATCCTTAGCCATTCAATGCCACACAAATGCTGTCTACTTGTTTAATGTATCAATACTGATGTTACTTTAAGTCCTTTTCTGTTCTAATATAAGGACTTACCTGGAGAGGGTTTCCCTTCCCATGACAGTTGGCATGTCCTGGCAGAGGTTCAGCTAACACATCGCTGGCCTTAGCCTTACAGTTAACAGGTACGTTAGTGTAGGCTCCGCAGATGTAGGGGTTAGAATGCCATCTGGAGCACAGAACCTCCACAGCATCTGGGATATCTGATCTGCCGGTAAACTGACGCAGTATCTGTGTGCACACTTTGCCAACCTGAATATGACAAAGATGAAAATCAAGGTGTAGTGGCTCTGCCTCTGAGGTGTAGCATACATATAACAGACTAAATGAAAACACACACATAACAGCACGAAATGAAATTTCATTCTTTAGAAACAAACTTTAAGGTACACCATCATTTCTTCTACACCCATAGAGTCAGTAAACGCTGTTTACATCCTGCTAAAATTGCACAAAACAAAGTTGCTTTATGATTTGTTTACCTCAGTATTTGATAACGACTCCATGAATTCAGCTGCCTTCCCACCAATCCATGCATACAGAACCTCAGGATGTCCCTCCAGTGTGTGGAAACCTGTGATCTGTTTAAACCACGTCTCTTCAACTTCCTTCTGCCTTTCTTTGTCCTCATCCCAAAGCAGCTGGATACAAGAAAAGGGCTCCTCCAAGGGAGGGCTTGGAAATCTGAGAAAAATCTTGTCAACAGTTCCAAAACCAAGACTACTTATTGCATCTACCTTGCACTGAGGTAAAGGAGGTTCAAATAACGTACTATGATTCAGTTTCAAGTACCCAAGAGAGACTGTAACGATTACATGGTGGGCAAAGTAGGTAGACCCATCTTCACAATGGACACTAACAGGGAACTCCTGGTCATCACTTTCTCTGTTCCACTGCACAAGTTTCACTGGTTTGTTGTACTGTATACAGTTATGAGGGAGCATATTGACAAGTACTTGCACAACCGCGCCATATCCTTTAGGTATTGGCACATTCGCTTCCCCTTCCAACTCTTCATATTTTGACATCTCTGAGAGAGAGATATTGTATAAAGAGTTACAGGCATTGTCTATTGTGGCAAACTTTTTATACCATGCTAGCATTAATTTCTTCCAACTCACAACCCTGTCAGTATCGAGTAGTTGTAGTAGTTCTGTGCGGAACTTGTGATCAACGAATTCGCCAACGCTCTGGAATGATTCGCAGTTGTCTGCTTTACCGCCTTTGTACGCTTGGTCTGTTACATCATCAAGTTTGCTCCAAAAGTCAAGGATAAAGTCAAGGTCAACCTGTTCACCCTGCTCGGTGTAGAACTTGTCGCCTGCAGGAAGAACTTTGACCTCTGTGTCCCCCAGGAGGTTGTTCTGTAGAGCGAGGTTGTACAGCGGGTTGTCCTTGTTGCCATGGAGCCAGGTTGCCCCTAAATCCAGGTTGTCAACACCTTGAAAGACAGAAAAGCTCTTGATACATTTATTTATCATTTAATCCATATCAATACATGTTATTCAGTTGATATTAACAAGGAAACAATTGCCATGCAGTAGATCAAATTCTGAAGACATACTTAAAATGACAGATGGATAGAATATGTGCAGGTCCGTTTAATTTTTTTGGCAGAGAAGCAACTATCTATAGTATACTAGTATATGTGAGTGTATGAATGCGGCTAAAAAGATGGCATCCAGGCCTATACTCATAAAACTTGTGCTGTCGGACTGTCTTTCCTTTAGCCTGGTTACCAGAAACTACCTGAGTCTTTATCATCTCCACAAAGAGAGGGTGATCATGAAGGCTCTGGAGCTAAAATAGTTCTGGTAACCAGGCTATCTTTCCTTACCGAGTGCAGTAACAGTATGAACTCTTCCCCCCGGTCTGTCCATGGCTTCCAGAACTGTGACGTCTGTGTCCCCAGTCTGAGTCAGCTCTACTGCAGCTGACAGACCGGCTATACCTGCTCCCACAATCACTACCTGGGGTCTCCTTGTTGTCATGGTAACTCTTTTCTGTGGAAGGACAACATATAACTGAAAAAAAAAAACAATTGGTGAAAATATGACCATTCTTTCTGCTGTCATTTGCTTCTTAATACATCTTACGTGACTCATCATCATCATCATCATCTTGATTACCCCCAGATAACCCCGCGAGGGGTGCCGTTAGGGGGGGGGAGGTCAAGGCTAAGGCGGGCAGGCCGCCAGCCCGGCCCAGAACGACTCAACATTGAGAGCCACGACTACCGGGCCAGGTAAGGAGTTCCACTGTGGAATGGTACGGGGAAAAAAAGAAAATCTGTATGTGTCAGTGCGTGCGTTAATGGGCTGATATTTAAGAGAATGGCTCCCTCGGGTACGCCCGTGTGGGCTGCAAAAAACTGCCAATTTGGGTATTAATTGCTACGATGTTATGAACTATTTTAAAAAATGTTGTGAGGCGGATGCCTCAAAAGAAATAACAAATACGATATCAGAGATTTCAGACTTCTGGGAAGTTTTCATAAAGTAGTCATCAGCTTCCAGAATTCCCCATGTTGACCTCCCTGCCAGCTCCCAGTCGGATTCTGAGACCTCCTGTTATTATCCCTGTCAATCCCCCACAAACCCAAGTGCTATCAACCTAGTCTCTCTGGACAAACTGCCACCCAGTCACCCAAAACAACACTAAAACTACGAAAGTTATAATAACATGAATTTATAAAAATATGACATTTACTAACATCCATGCGAACCATAGCCAGCTGCAGATCCGTAATTTCTCGATCTTTGAAATAAATATTCGATCTTTGAAAGACTGAACTTTATCCGCCCCCCCTCCCACCCATGGGCCCTTCCTCAACCAAAAAGGCCACAGAATCGTTTTGTACGAGTCTTAACAGGTGGCCTGTATCAGGTTACGTTGTTTGACTATTGCGGTACAGCCCTAGCATTTTGTATCGATCTTCCCGATGCTGTTATTTGAAGTACATGGCATTCTCTTTCCAAGAACTTTGTTGTTTACCTTCTCAGACATCTGCTCAGCTCAAGCCCCGCGCTTTTCGTATTTTTCCAATAATTATCACGTGACCACGACTCGTCCAATCACGGCGCCGGAAATCAGTCGCCAATACGACCGGCGTACACAGCAAGATGTCGATGTGGAACGAGCAAAGGTGACGAATTTTCCGCATTTTTGCAATATTTTTGGTCAACATGAGCCACCTAACTACCTCTATTACACACCGTTAACATGTGTGACCTGTCACACATGTAATTTGAGGGAAATTACGCGAAATTCTGACCAAAATTATGCTGATATTTCGGTGGGTGACCCGACCTACTAACTTGGTGCTGGATGTGGACTGTACTATACCGCAAGTTTCCACATTTTTGCAATATTTTTGGTCAACATTAACCATATTATTACATTCATGACTACTCACTGACATCACTGGTCAGTTTTACATAAAATCTGAGGGACATTCTGACCAAAACTATACCAGAACCTCGGTGAGTTGACCTCCCCCCAGATGTTTCGATAGCCAAATCGACCGTGTGATAACAGTAACAACATCGCGAGTGTAGCAAATATTTTCCCCACAAACTTTCCCTACTGAGCGGCCTAGCGGCATTTTACTGGCACCGTGCGTTGCGGAGGAATGTTTATACGAGTCGAACCCACGGTTAAATGTTTGCTTTTTACCGCGCTGACAAACAGTTATAAGTCCGAGCAAACTTGAGTAGGTAACGGCGTTTGTCACCATTTTGCAGACAGTTTATTTGTACGGTAGTACGGGGGACATTTTTAGCCGTCACGGTGTACTTGAGCGTGCAGGAAGCCTGTGTTTGTGTTTGTTATGCTCGCTACTGTAGACCAACACCATCAGACACTGTGTTCACAGTCAAACAAACGCCTGGTTAACCAACAAAAGACGGACTTACAACGCAGAAAGGGTCTTTCATAATGGCTGAAGTGCCTTTGGTGAAAGATCACGATACGTTCAAATAAGTAATATCCGTATTGGTCTCTATAGATATAACTTGTTGCAAAAGTGTTAAGATTATAAAAATATAGCAGAATTGAAGTTTTTGGTGTGACGAAGATGTTTTCTGTAATTTGAGATAAACTGCTCTGCTTACAAACTGAGTTTCATTCAATATTGTCACAAACAGCGAAGGCTTTACTTGGCAAACAAAATCCTAAGGTGGTTATCTCAACTTCTTTGGTTACCAAGGGCTATACTGTTACTAACTGCTATTCGCAGTTATGTATAGCTTACCATAGATGATGATGCATTTTCGTGCTACTGTTTTGTAGTGTCTGTTAATTGTATTGATTATCAATATAATATAGTATAATATACATCACATGTCACCTAGTGATAAAGTGGTAGTAGGTACTTGAGGCACAATGTGCAGGGAGACCTGTTAATTGTTCAAATATGTGGTTAATGCTTCTAATATATTTGTGTGTACTGTTACTGAGCAACAAAAGTATACTGTCAATCGCCCAAGTTGGATTTGCCATACTAGTATTTATAGCTTAAATTCCATGTCAAAAGCCATGATTAGATTAGAGGAAATAGTGACAAAGGTGTTTTTGATAATCATTTGTGATGGAATTTTTACTACGACTTTTACTGAAGTGTGTTTAGGTTACCATTTTGCTAATTACGTAGTCTGGTATATAACACAATGCAAATACATTATACTGCCATTGCCAATGCCTAGGAAAATTAATGTTGTGTTTCTGGTTTCAGTCCTGAAAAAACTAGCGTTAATAGATACGGGTTTTCCTCTTTTTTTATCGTTTTTTTTTGGGGGGGGGGCTAAGAAAACGTTTAACAATGAATTGGAACTGTCTCAAGGACCCCTCCACCCATTTGCTTGTGGACATTTCACCCAATTTACTGAAAAAAAAATTGCTCCAGAAGATGCATGAAATGACATTTCACTTGGAATTCAGCCTGGGTTTGAAAGCGAGATGTGAGATTTAAAAAATTTATAGCCGTCGATAAATAAACACTAAGGTCGGCTGTCTCGACTGTTAGTCAGGAAACCTGAAGCACAACATCTTTTTCCTGGGCCCTTTCAGTCATTCATATTTATCAAGGATAATGAAAGGAATGATACATTGCTAAAGGTAAGTCGATACCTCAGGTAAACCTCAAATTGACCTACTTTTCTGTAAGTTTGAAAGGTATGAACAACAAATCAAAATTGTAGGCCACTCAGACTGAAGCTTATTCATTCAGGAACTGCCCCAAAATTCAAACTGGAACAGATTCAGTCCTGTCAAATCCTGTGGGATTTGTATTTACTTACCCTGTGTTTCAGGTCATTGTTTGACCTATTGACTGTATTGTGCTGATTCTGACAACAATGTTTTGAGTAGAAAAATTTTGAAGCATACAAAATTTAAAGTTATATCTGGTTGACATCCTGTTACAAACTGTCATTCTACCCACCCCTATTTGCTTTGGCACGGTCCAAGATAACACAGCTGGTTGCCATGGTATCACAATTACACAATTTCATGTTTAACTTAAGCCCAGCCCCTGAATTTTTCAGTAGAAGATTAATGGTTTCATAGTATATGTGAAGGGAACAGTGTCAAATGGCAATAGCATGTAATTCAAATTTTAAGCAGCTCATGATCAGTAATATTTACTCAGTTATCAGTACATGTATTGTGAATGAGGTTAAAATTGAGGTGAATGCACTTTTTAGTCCAAAGTGTGAAGGACACAGACTTAAAATTGTGATAATGCATTTATTCTTTGGCACTCAAAAATGTCTGAAAATGAGTACAATGACAATTGCAGCTATTATGAACCACAAAACTATAGCACAGTGACCACATGTTTTTAAGATGTGTTCAGAAAACTACTAAGTACACATTATTGTCAAGTTGCTGTAGATTGAATGTATATACATAAATGTCCCAGCATATATTATTCATGACTCTTTTATTATTCATAAAATAAGGTTATCATGATCATTGATGTGGAAGTTACTGCTTTATCAGCTGAACGATAACAATAATCATTGGGTTAAAGGTGGGTGTTGGTCTTTTAATGTGCAATTTTTCAGTTGCCATATCTCCTATATGATTTACATGATACATTTTGCCGTACTTCTGTTGGAAGTGTAATGACCTATGAATTCACTGTAATCAAACTGGTGGTTTATCATTAATATATATTCATTGCTAATGTATAAGCGAACAGCCCTTCATTGCTATATATAGTATAAGTCTTATAAGTTATCCTTCGATAAGTTTGAAGAAAGTAAAATTGTATGTTCGTTCCTAGCCACTGAGTACTGCAATACTGAAGAAAGCCAGTGTCCAAACAACAGTAGACTCCGGACACCAGACTAATTTTTAGTCGTGAAATACACTCAAATATAAAGGGGGAAAATTGAAGCATGTTATAGAGACAACAACTATAGTTTCTGCATATAATGTATTAAGACTTAAGTCATCCAACTTGGGAGACATATTCTAGGTGTCATGAATTTTTTGAGGAGTGGTCATCCTAATAAAAAAATGTAGGTGCTACTACTACTGAGAAGAGTGTTGTCATTGGATTAGATCTTCTCACGAAACAGTCTTAAAGAACACGGCAGTCCTCAGATGCCACATGTCCTTGCAGGAATGCCATTAATTATTCAGAAGTCATTTTGTGACTATAGCTACAGGTACACAAAGAGCCTTGTGTTGGCCTTTTTACAGGCGGGTCAGCCCACTCTCTCTCATAGGTGATTTTCATACTGTCCTACTTTTACAAAACCCTTAGGAAATGAAAAGAAAACAATTTTTCTATTCAAAAAGAGACAGTTTCTTTTACCTGCAAAGAAACATAATCTTTTGGTGTTGATCTGTGTTATTTATTTTCAAATATACATAGTATAAAAGTTTTTGCTGACTCTGTGGCCCCTGTATTATTCTTAGTGTACAAGACTTTATGTCGAAGTCAACACATAATGGGTATCCTAGATGCATATGGTTAAAGTGATGAGTTGTTACCGGGTACAGCTACTAGTAGTGAACAAACCATATGCGGTCTAGTCGTGCTAAAAGGTAAGGAATTGTAATTGGTATCCACATTACTAGTATGGTATATCTGGTATTTTGGTGATTTTTTATTTCTTTTCTAAAGTCACGGTAAGTTGGTAGGCAAACCTGTTTTTTTTTTTAATTTTTGAAAAAAGATTGACATTTTTTTCTTTGTACTTCCAGGGCTCCTCCCTTCCACACGAGGGTGGGAATCCTCCCAGGAATTGGATCGGATTCACCGCAACCGACCTCTCAGAACCAAGTCGTCCCCGTAACACGGGGGAAACAATTATCTCCTCTGATAGACACTGGGTATGGAGACACCAGCAGTATGGGCTCCGTCGGAAAAGGTGCAGATTCCCGCCTAACGATAGTCGAACAGTCCAACCGGGCTCTCTTGGAAGAAGTAGTCAGACTCCAAGGCGAGCTCAAGGCTTCAAATCGACGACAGGACCAGATCATCTCCGAGGAGAGAAAGGCCAGGCAACAAGTGATTGACAACTTAAGGTCGAGCAATGACTTGATATCACAACTTGCTACGCGGCTGAAGAGAGCGGAAGACTCTGTGGTAGAAGAGAGAGAAGCCGTGTCGGCACTAGTCAGTCACACCAAACAGGTGGAGAAGGCAGTTATCAGCAGTCAACAGGAGCTTATGGGGAGAAGAGATACACAGAGTACTAGGTAATCTTTGCAATTTTCTCCAGCTTGATGTTAACACTAAATTCCATAGTCACATTGTTGTTTTTTTGTTGCGGTTACTATTAGCATATTGCATGTATTTGTATGGTTGTTAATAGTTTGAATGTATAAGCACCTTAAATAGATTAACAGTAGTTTGAATGTATAAGAACCCTAGATATAGCATGTATGACACTGCTCCTTTATAATTATCCAGTATAGTAAATGTATGCAAAAAGTAATAATTACTAGTAACATCTCACAAAGCCATTTAGCATATTCTATTTGATGGGCTTTAATTTTGTAGATCCTTTGACAACTTGTGTCCTCTCCAGGATTACTGAACTAAAGCACGATCTGGACCAGTCCAAACATGCCAGGGAGCAGCTAGAACGTGCCACCATGAGTCTGATCGACGAAGTACGGCAGATGAAGGCAAAGCTAGATGGCCAGGGGGTGGATCTAAAACAAGTGGCGGACGAAGTCAAGCAGAGATCGCGAAGGCTAGAAGAGGATAGCAGACAAGCTGTATGAGATTATGATAAGATCTATAGCATATTTACTGCTGTCTCTTTTTCTCTTCATACAGATATTGTACATAAGTAATGCCATGATCGTAAATCCCAACAACAATGGGCTTCCCATTGTTGACTTTTTGATGATCATTGTTAGGGCACATCCACCTAGCAACATATAGTTTGATCTAGTATTAGCCATCGATCATCAAGGACACTATTGGGAACAAAGAAGAAAGTACTAGTAGTAGTTTTTTCTGATATTGCTGAAATGAAGCTCAGATTAAACAGCAGTTTCCCTTACCAAAATTAGGACTTCAAATTTTAATTTCTGGAAAAAAAAGATAAAACTTTTAAAGTATACAATTTATTGAAGTTAACGTGAAGATATATCAATATGCTTCTACTGTCAATTCTGTCACTAAATCTTCTTAAAGCACATTTACATCATCCTTACCATAATCCAGAATTTTGCACTGTTTCTTAACTTTAACCTCTAGTGCAGAATTTATCATTTACATGTGACTGTTTTGTCCACTCTATTCATATCATTTCTTTCTCTTTACTTTTTGTGTGCACCTGTCGGACTTGTGTGTATATAGTGGGTAGGTACAGCCTAAATTTTGCGTTTTTCCTTCTCTGTCTTCAAAATCCTTGATTAAGCTATAGTTTTTAGTTACATTTACTAGTATTAGTTTTGATTTTCAGTCATTATATATTTTTTTAGAATCAGAATATTAATATATTCAAGCAATGTAAAGATTGTTTCCTAACAATACAGGTACTTAGCATGTGTTAGTGTAGTACAAACAAATTTATGACAGTTGAGGTACCTATTTCAGAGTCTTGAGTATAAGCAACTGCAACAGGTGTCAATGGTGATTTACATCCCTTAAAATATGTTATTTGATCTACAGAAAAATGTTTGTGATTCATAGACATTGGCTGTGGGGTTCATGTGAAGTTAATGAAAGTCAATCTTAATAACTGCCTGAAGTCAATGATAAACTTGGGCGATGTGAACTAAACCTTACATTCATGTAATATAGCCAGTTGCCATTTTTAAAGTATACGTGATAGGCAAGAATTTTAGCAGAGAGTGATATTTTGACATTTAGGCAGGCAACACATATTAAATGATAATTGAACTTTTTACATCTCCAGATTGACACCATCAGAAAACAGAGTGAGATGCAGCAGCATAGTGAAGTGTCCTCAAGTCAACTCAGAATGCAGTTTGATGGGAGGTTTGTAGACTAATACAATTGTATTTATAACATACATGTACATATGTATGCTACAAAATAATGTAAGTTTTCTCAAAACGTGGTGTTCATCTGTGTTTGCTTCCAGGTACAGAAGCCACATGTAGACTAAAGTACTGTGTATCGTTTTCGGTGGCTGAGTTGTGGGTTTGTATTGGGTGGGAGGTGATTTTGACAGTTGGGAGGTCACACCTTAATTCAAAGGTTACCCAGCATGTGCTGGGAGGGGTAAGTGTACAGTATGTGGAGAAATTCAGGTCAAGTGGGGTCATGCTAATTAAATTACATTACACAACCCTCCCAATATTTATGAAAAGCTTTCAAATTGACACCGAGAGGACTTAGTGAACTTAAATGTCACAAAAACAGAAAATACATTTTTTGCCTTTTCCTGAAGTTTGAAATCTCAGACTTCTCGTTTATGTGTTTCAATACATGTTTATTTGGAACATCTGTAAATTTTGATAGGAAAAACAATGACCATACTGTACATTGTCACTGTCACGGTGCTCAAGTTAACAGTTGAATATGACATTGCAGGTTGGGAGAGGTACGGGATGTGGTACTGGAGCTGAGGAACAGGCAGAGTCAAGAAGAGATGTCACGTAGGCAGCTGGAACAACACATGGAGTCAAGGTGTGGTGTTGTCAGCCATTCATGTAAAACCCTTCCAAACCAGCTGCCAGTAGTACTTTGATGTATAGTTAGCATACTGTACATGGTAAGGCCTGTCACCACAAGCTGGTCATTACATTGTAGAAGCAAAACAGAAAAGATACTCTTGATGCATGTACTGCTAAATAGGAACTTACTTTTGTGTTGGTTTTAATCAGAGGGACAAGGAAGTTTTTGCTGTTTCAGTTCTGTTACAGTAGTACAAAGAGATATTGAACACATCTAAAGTTTCATGATTTCACTTTAAGTGGATGCTATGGAAAAATAGTGAACGCATTAACAGTATTTGGAAAGCTGGAAGAAAAGATCTTTTGAAATGCCTTCTGTTCTCCCCTATAGAATAGCAGAGATGCAGTCAACCTTGTCTAACCTGGAACAGAAGAGAGAAGGGGACTTACACACGGTTGATATTCTACAAAAAGAGAGGGAACAAGCTGCTGAGAATGAGAGGGTCAGACTACAGGTCTGTGGGGTTTTATGGCTCAAAGGATCCAGAAAAAGAAAAGCAAAATGCAATGTCATTACTGCTATATATATATTAGACACAGTGTGTATTTTTTTGTTTATCATGCATTACCCATTAAAAATCTAATGTATAACTATAATACACTGGATTTGTACACTGTAAATATACCCTTCCTTAGGGCACAATTTTGGGGCCTGCTAGGTATTTGAACCCGGAACATAGATTCTAAGTCAATAACCCTAACCACAAGACCACCTTGACACCTGTCAAGAAGTTAAAAAGCATTGCAAGTGGTTCAAATAATGATTACTAGACTAGCAAAACTGGAAAATTCCTTAGATGCAGGAATTTTATCTTGCCCTCCTTTTTATTTGAAAAAAAAAAAGAACTTCCTAAATTATGTGTATTTTTTTATTTTATCCACATTATTGTATATTTTCAGGGTAAGCTGAGTGAGATAGCAGAAGAGGTCAGTAAGAAAATACTGCAGAAAGAAATCCGACTCAGGGAAGAGGCCCAACAGAAGTTCCATAACGTTGAAAAGGTATTCTATTACATTTGTTCATAATCACAATGGCCTTGTTGTGCCTTTGTGACTGACTTGAGCCAACTAGATCCCTAATGATTGCCTCGACCTTGGCTAATCTCTCTTTCTTTTGCCTGAAGTATTACATTGCATGTATTACCTATTCATATGTCTCAATATACATTGTATATACATCATTATTTATTCATCATTTCTTAACAACCAATTCAGTGGTATACGTGTGTGTTTCATTCAAGATATCCATGAACTCGTACAACCTCTTCAGTGCACATTGTATGATTGTCCTATTGTGATGCATAGAGGCTTACAGGCTTTCAATGCCATCCGTTCCGTTCATTTAAATGTAATGTGAAGGCCGATTTGGTCATCTCATGAACAAACAAGGTTCAAACAAACAAACAAAAAGGTTGATCCAAACTTTTGTTTTTTTACAGCACCTTTTTTATACATGATGTATAAAGAAAACGTTATGCTTAAAAGAGAGGCATTAATTTAGGATTTCAATTGCCCACATTTGTACATGCCATAAATAGTTTTGCAGTGTTTTGTATAACATTACAGTAACTGCTTTTTATGTCAAACACCAGTTTTGTAAAGTTAAGGGAAGGTACAAGCTGTGTTAAGATTGGGTTGTAAGGTTTGATCCATTCTTACTGGGATAGATTCCTACTAGAGTAAGCATTACTTATTTGGTACATGAATTCATCCTCATCCAACACAGGACCTCCGGATTTAATTTCTGCCCCATTTGAGAGGATGTCTCTAACCAAAGCTAGTTCACCTGAGTCATGTGAGGGTACTTGTTTCTGTAAGGTGCCTTTCCCAAGAGCACACCATTGGGACATGCTAGGGATTCAAACCTTACCCTGGAGTGTTATAATGTTTTAAAATGGTTGTATCAGCAGTGTTCGAAATACCTGTCTGCAGTCTGCAATCTGCAGATAGATTTCAAAGATTGCAGAAGAAAAATTTATACAATCTGCAATTTTGCAGCAGGAAAATGCAGCACTTGGGATTTGGTGCTCTTGGTCCCAAGGACAGACAACACTTAAGCTCCTGTTCTGAAACAACAGGAGCTTCTTCACTAATTTACATCAACCTTGTCTTGACTTGTCTATCTTTTGTTTCCTTTTGGACTTCCAAAAATTTGTCTTCACTAATTTGCATATCAATCAATAGTTCATGCTTATAAACTTGCAAGATTGTAGTACGTATAGAGGCTTGTGTATTTGCAGAAAGTATTTCCAAATTGCAGAACAAAATTTTGACTCTTCTGCAATATTGCAGAACACTGAAAAAAGGTATTTCGACCACTGATCAGGTTGATAGCCTTGATTGTTTTTTGTTTGACTTTTACACAGGTCCTGAGAGGTGAGGAAGCTGCCAGGATAGGACACGAACGCTCCATCAGGGAGGAGAATGAAAAACGGTGGGGCGCACTGCAGCAAATGAACGAACAGGAGTTTCTTGCACTGAGGGATATTGTCAAGGTAGCCAATTATTCTTTTTCCTCTGTTAGATGCTCCATTTAAATACTGTAACTTCAATACAGGACTAGGACAGAAACAGTGCAGAGTTGAAAAGTCGCTCCTGAATTCCCCAATGTGTTGTCCTGTATAAATTTCTGCTGGCTTCTGGTCAGATTCTGTACTTTTCTAGTTAACCCCTTTTCCCATTTCTGAAATTTTCACCTGTCATTCTGCCTGCCAATCAAACAAACAAACAGACACACAAACCCACAGACAACCTTCCCAAAGCAACACTTATGCGCCTGGAAGTAAACTATCAATCCACATGTACATTTGTATGTCTATGTGTCCACAATACAGGTGCATAAGTCCAAAACTGCTGAGAACTTCCAGACCCTGAGCGAGTCTGTGTCAGTGCTGGAGAAACAAGCCATGGAAGCCAAGAGACAGCTGGAGAAGGTCCTGAAAGCTGAGATACAGACAAGGTGAGAAATCCAAATAGATTTAGGGAAAAGATAGAACAGGGCATACATGTACGTGTATATGTTTAGAGAAGTTGCTTGTTACATGTACAATGTATGTGGGTCAAAGTTCATGTTGTGGTTACTGTACAGTAGTCTGGTATAGATGTGGGTAAAAAATGGTCAATATGCTATTTTTTCCAAATCATATTTAAGGGAATAACAGTTCAAGGCATGTGGCTTTTACTGAAATGTATGCACAGTGTCAGGCAAACTTCATTCTACAAGTATTTTCCAAATATTCCTTTTGCCCCCCTCCCTTCTAACTACCTCTGTAAAAATGAAAGCGTCCCCAACGGAGAAACGCCCACCGGACGCCGTCCCTGCCCGTCCTTAGCGGGAAACGGCGTCCTGACCGTCCCAACACAGTTGGCAGCGTCCACAAACTTCCCCCGGACGGCCGTCCCAGAAATTAGCGACGGCACCCCGTCGCTCCCAGCCCGTCCTGAACCGTCCGGCATGGAAACGGGCGTTTATTAATTAATTGACAACAGCAGCGGCCGGCACTTACGTGCTTCACGATGTTTCCCAGGGGGGTTTAGGCTTCTAACGCACATGCGCCAAGTTTGAAGGCGCTAGATTTAACGGTCACCGGGCTGGCTGGGGAACACGTCTGCTGCTCAGTCGACCTCAGTTTTTTCCATTTTGTTGGATTGTCTGCAATTTTGGAGGATGGAATTCATTCATACAAGCAGCTATATCTATCGTCGACGCTGCACACAAGTTTGGGCATCTCCAGCGACTGACTAAAATGTCAAACGAGATGTTCCAAGAATGTAAACAGCGGCCGCCAGAATTTTGGGTGTACCGAAGCAATCTGTCTCGGCGATTCTTTTTCGAGGATACTCGGTAAGTGGACAAGAATTTTTCGTTGTCAAATGTTACAAGGGAACTGTGTAAGACAGTGTTACAATTGCCACAACAGAACATTAGTTAATTCCAGGGGCTGCTGAGAAGTTTGCGGTTATATTTTGTGCCTCCCCACATAAATTTTGTCACATGCGCCGCCGGGCTGATAAAGGAAATTCAATGTTTTAACGCCGAAAAATAAAAAGACGCACACGAACGATTTGTAGAATAATTGTGTACAATACCTGCTGTTTTAATAAAGAACGATGATGCCGTAAAAATGTACACGTCATACACAAAAAGAGACTCGAAGTCCCGCACACAAGTTCGGCCCGGGAAAGTCCTGACGTCACGGCTGCCATCTACAAACGCAACCGTCAATGTTGTTTTCATACAAAATCTTCCAAGACGCACAAAAACTACGTAGAATATAATTATATACTATACGAATTTTAATGAAGAAAGACGATTATGTTAAAATGTCCACTTAGGCAATGTTTGCACTTGTAATTTTCTTACACCATCGCCCTTTATGTTTGTGTGCGCTCACAATGGTGGATTAGTGTTGTCGCATGTTCGCCGCTGTTTACAGCCGCTGTTCAACATTTTGTTACTCTATATTCTTGAAGAAAATCTTTTTCGTTTGATCATGGTATTTTGTATTTACTTCACTTGTATTTACTCACGGCTCGTTACGGCAACTGTTACAATGTGGGCGGCCGTTACTTGTTGATTCGATGCCAATCTGCAATTGTTTTCAATATTACTATATCGGCACCTTCTGTCACGGGACGCCGTCGGAAACGCCGTCCCAACCCCGTCGGAGCGGCAAGATCAAAATGTCCACAATGACTGAGCACCCCCCAGAGACCCGTCCGGCCGTCGGATACGCCGTTTGGACCCCACCTGTGCCGTCCCAAGCGTCGCCCGGCCCCGCCCAGGAGCCCGTCCGGCAGCGCGTCCAGCAGCCCGCCCGGTAGCCCGTCGGAAACGGCGCCCAAACGCCTTGAGAAACGCCCGGACGCCGTCGAAAACGGACAGTTCTGACGGCGTCCCAGGCGTTTGAGGCGTCCTGGCCCGTTTCTGGCCTTTGTCCAGGCGTCCGTAGTCCCCGTTTACCGCCAGGGACGGGCAGCCGTCCCAAACAAACGGCCAGCACAAACGGGCGTTTAAACGGGCGTTTCTCCGTCGGGGACGCTTTCATTTTTACAGAGGTAGGCTATATTAGACCCTTTTGAGGCAAACACTGGTTTATGACTGACATCATTTAATAGGACAAATGCCAGTATTTGTCAATGTATTTACATAATGGTGAATTTCTTTTTGCTATGCAAGATTGGTTTATATCAACAATACTTACCATGAGTTGTAGGTTAGTTCATTTCACAAAAGTTCCTGTATGGTACTGCAGTAATCATGACAACTGATAGGTGGCATACCTAAGCTACAAATTATATTTTGCTGCTTCACCTGCAATACTCTTTGGCCTCAGCAGGCGGTGTGATACTTACATGTATGCTGTTAATATGACAAGTCATTATTTATTAATGCCCCAGTGAAATAAGACTTCCCTTTCTAGGCCTTATATTCTCCCATCATAGCATTTCGGAATGATTGAGTTATTAAATTTTTTCAAAGTTCTCCCTTTTTCAACTGTCAACTGAGCAAATGCACAATCATGTCAACCTTTCACAACACTGAAACAGAAGCCAATTCCCAGTGTGGGAACCACTGAAACAACTAGGGGAAACTAGGGAAAACAAAGTCCCCTGGCCCCAGGAATCGAACCCAGGCCACCAGGACAGGAACCCAATGCACCAACCACCAGGCTAAAAGGTCTTGACATGTTAGAAAGCTCAGTTGGTGGCACTGTAACACTGTTACATGTTGTGAAACATTTTCCTCACAGACAAAGCCAGGACCAGGCCCTGAGTAACAGGGTTGATGACCTGCAGGAGAAACTGGGCGTGGCCGTCTCCACCCTACAGCAGGCTGTGGGCGGAGTCAGGACACAGATGGCAGATGTACATGCCAAGGTAGGGACATCCAATACATGTCATAAAATATATTACATATTGGCTATGTATATGAACAATAAGCAATGTTGTCAAAAAGAATTCGGAGTATGCCTCAGACACACTGGTGGATGAAATTATGAAAAAGATGCTTGTTTTTTTTTCCAAAGCATTAGAAACTTAAATGAAGGATAACAATCATTGTGAAAAAAAAAAAGTTAAACAAGAGACATGAAAAGTTGATAGCTATTAAATAAAGATTGGAATATGTCAATGTGTATGTTAATTTTTCTAGCACCATGGTATGTTCATTTCATTACCATATGAAGTGTGTTTGTATCAGCTGTTTGATTTCATTACCAATGGTGATCATGCAATATAGCTTTGTGTTTTATGACACTTTTAATTGCCACCATATAAAGTCACTCACATCTGTTACCAGCCCGATCATAACACTGGTGATATGCAGGATCATAAAACTGATGATATGCAGGCCACTGAAACCAGGAAGGACACATCTGAGGAACCTGAGATAGACACAGAAGAAGTTGAAATGCCGGTAGAATCTGACACAGAAAATCCTGGGGTTGATTCAGAATCAGAGGAACCAGAGGTTCAGTGGACAATTTGAAAAGTTGACTTCTTTTGCACCATTTTCTGTTTCAGGCACAAGATAGTTAGATACACCTGCCCTGTATCTTCTTTTGAATGATTGAATTTGCACCATATTCCTTTCTTACTTCACAGAATATTGTCTCCCACACCTTCTGTTGCATGCAGTCTTGCAAGTTGAAGTATACAATAGTCATGCACATTGATGTTTGTACATTTTTCAGATTGCACTATCTTTGCAGATAAAAGGAAATAAAAAAAAAGTTATTTCCGACTGAACTATGACTGCAACTATCAAGTCAACCATGGTACTAAGACAGAATCTAAATACTTTTTGTAGTTCAATATTGCAATTTACACTTGAAAAATTTGAGAGAAGGTAACAACGGCTGTAAATATTTAGCGCAGTCACTGTTAGTGCAGATTAAGAGGGCACATAACAATGTCAGGTACATTGTATGTATGGCTGAGACGGTAGTTCATTGACTATACATGTACATGTACATTGTATTTTATAACTCTTGTAATTCACTGTCTCTCTCTTCCTCAGTATCACAAACCAGCATGGTCAAACAATTCTGCTGCCAGACCTTTGGAGCAACAGTGTAACAATTTCTATCTCAAAATCTCTTGCCAACTAAATTGAAAATATCACCCCTATTCAGACACTACAGGACATGAGGAACATCCTGGATGAAAGCAGACAGTCTAACACCAGGAGCCTGGCAGACATGGATGCCAGAATCATGGGCCTGAACGCAAGGGTATCACACCAGGAGGACGCCTTTGAAGCCAAGTTAGGGGAGGTGAGATAGTCATTAGATATTCATATCAGTCCATACCTAGAATCAAATTTAGTACATCTCTGGTGCCCTCGTAGTATTTGCTTGGTGTAGGTTAAAAATAATTGTTTATTTCACTGTCATATAGTGTTGCATTACTTGATGTGGTTAGTTTACAAGTGTCTTGTACTACTCATGCTGCTAAGGCGTTGGAAAACGCCAGAAAGGAACAAATGGAGGCAAGGGAGAAGGTGATGTCACTTTTATCAAGTAGTTGTTGTTTTTGTTCATCAATTGTTAGATGAATTTTTAGGAAATGTTGTTATCCAGTAACAGTCAGGTCATGACATTGTAGATAATGCATTTCATTTCCCACATCACACACAGTATTTACAATGTATAATTATGTTGTTTTCTGAATGTTTGCCGAACAGTGCAAAATTAATAATTTCTAATTGTTTCTTTGAACAAACTATATGCTTACAAATATAGGATGCTGAGGTGAATATGAATACCCCTATTACAACCTGACTTTAAATTATAGTACATGTAGTTGTATTGTGGTTCATGTATAGAAGGTCTAGACATACATGTACATGGCTGTCAATGTAATTTAAGGTCACTTGTAATAACTTCTAGTAAGTAAATTTTCTTATTCCTGTTGTATTTTAGAGATTAGATCTGGTGCATAACATTAAGCAAAGGATTGGATTATGAACTCCTATGATTGCTATTCTGCCCGGTTTTACACGTTGGATGATTCATACATACCGAACAAAGAATTTGAAAGAAACACCCAAGCAAAAGAGATCATCATGATTTTGTAGATGAGAAAACTTGTTGTCTCCTCAGATCCAGTCCCTGCAGGCAGACAACCTGCGTAAGAACATGGAGTCTCTGACTCAGTGGCAGGCCCTAACACAACAACAGATGAAGGACATACAAGAGATGCTGGAGAAACTGCCTACAGAGGTAAACAGTTACTATCCATGTTACTGAATATTATGTTACTAATTATGATGATAACTAATGTGCATAGTACAGTAGGGAAGCATGGTGATCTAAGTTCCTTAATGTTCTACAATCTTGTATATTCCATTTGATACAAAAGCAATGCTGCAAGTACCGAATTAGTGTACCCTGAATGTTGTACATCTGATTCAGTAATCTTGTTTATTAGAAAGCAATGCTACAAGACTGAGTACCTTAAGCTGGTGTGTTACGCCGAAAGGCGGTTATACCGGCTATACAGATACAGATACAGAATCTGATACAGATACCGAATTACATTGTAGTGTACCCTGAATATTGTACATCTGATTCAGTAATCTTGTTTATTAGATGTGTAAGGCTACAAAATGTTAGGTATACTGGGCCATAAACAAAATTTAAATAAGAGAGACAATGTTGTTACATACAAATTGCAGGTTTCCTACATCAAGGAACAACAGAGAGTGATGAAGACTGAAGTAGAGACCAGACTAGACACTGAGATGCAGGCCAGGTAACCATAAAGTGCAAAATCATGTCAAACAGACATGACAAATTTTTAATTTTCAGTATATCAGGTTTTGCTAGAATTGAACTATTCATGTCACTGTCACAGTTTCATTGATCAAAATTTCCAAAATGTGATGCTTTATTAACATCTACTGTACAGTTGTGTAATTAATGCACATTGTGGCCTCAGTTGTGCATTCATTTCAATCTTGATTTACAAATTAAGACTGCTACTAACAGTGTTGTAAATTCATTATGAGTCAAAAGTGATAATTGGTTTAATTTGTGGTTTTAATCCAGAATCCGTGACATCCAGAATGTGCGTGAGGACATCACCAGGATCCTGGAGGATCTCAATGTGTCCAAGGGTGGAGACGAGGCCAAGCTTAACGCAGTCCAATCACAGCTCACTCAGGTAAGAAAAACAGATGAAAAGGAGTTATAAATATTTTTACCACTGCTTGAAGTGGTTTTACCTTCTAATTTACTTTAACTGTACTGGTTTTGCCAGCTAAGGGTAATTGTACTTGTAGATAAAATCATTAAATTTTATATGTAGGACAAGAATAGTCCTGGATACACAATTATTGCATCCTAAACTAGTAATGATAAGTTACCTACTGTAAAACTAAAAGAGAAATTTTTATGGTGGTTTTGATAAAACTTTAATTAAGAGTAAAAATGAGCTTTTCCCTGTCTGAAGTTGGCATTGGAAACAATTATAATACGATAGACTTACAAAGCACAATCATATTTATTTACTGTGTTTGGAAGGTGAACCCAAGTGGCATGAAAAAAGACTACTGCTTTGGAACTATTCTGCATTATTTTTACAGAATCCAATTCACCTCGTCCTTGTTTTGTTCATGTTTTCAATCAGGGACTTGCACAAGTGAAGAACTTGGAGCAGATGTTACAAACCAGTAAGACTGTCATGAGCACCAGGGTTTCATCTGAGGCCAAGTCTGTAAGTAAACATGTTGGCACAGCCTACTTGTACAGATTGCTCTAAGGGTGTTTTTTCCCAACTGTTGTCAATGCTTTACAAATGTGTACATGTATCTATCCCACAGAATGCAGATTCTGAAGTTCTGCTTTTATGTCAAAGGTGTCAAAAGTATATAAATTTATAATTATTTTTATTGACCTTGAAGTCAGTTAAAGTAGCTAACAACTTTGATACTCATGATAAATTGTACTTCATTTGGTTAAATTAGACTTAAGTTTTCATCTATTTGTATTTTGAAAACTCTTTTTTTTAATGATTTGAAAGTTTGTTATCCTCCATATTTTTGTCCATGTACATTTAACATATTGCCCAATCTTGTAAACGTGATTCTTCTTTAACTTTCTTTGGGGAAAAAAATTGTCAATGTACCACATTGAAGGCAATTATTACTTTTCATCACTCATATAATTATGTAAGGACATGATTAGTACTTTCCAGAGCACTGCAAATTCCATCATGTCTATTTGCTTGCTCACTCTCCTGTCAACATTTTGCTGCACAGTAAACAAAAGTTCACTTCTATGACAATATTGAATTTGGGAGATAAAATTTTATTGCTGAATATTTATCACTATAAGTTGTTTTTCAATTGCGGCATTCTTGCTTAAAGTGAATTAATGACAATAGTGTAAAATTATTTTCTTTCCAACTGTTCTTAAAGACTGTAGATGAAAAATTGGTTTGGAATCCAAACTGTGCTCTTGAGGTACATTAAGGGGCACCCTCTACGTCAGTTTAAACTCCTCCCAACTTCCCAATAACAGATAATACCCTGACTTCATAATCCCAGGTAAATACTCCTCTGTTCTCCACACAATGTAGGATTATTTGCCAGTGGTGACATTTCAAAGTTCAGCCAACAGGTGAACAAATAAGCCCACTGAGTCGAAAAAAATCTGTCAATATTCTTTGTGGTTCAAAGATTGGCTGGTGTCCAAAATGTCTTGACATGTCGCAGATAAGCTGACCTAGCCTTTGCAAACTTGGAAGTCTGACTGCATTGGGAACAAAATTGTATTAAATGAAAAGGGCAAAGGAATTGGATTAGTATTCAAGGCAGTTGACTGTATCAATGTTCAATGTTTAAACAATTTTGTTTTCATAAAGGACTTGTAATGTATGTGTGACTTGTAGTTAACAATTAGTAGTTTCTGCATTCCTTCATACATGTAAATAATATCCAAAGGTACAATGTTTACCATCATACATGATTGTGTATCATAATATTTTAACATTTTTTAACACTGATTTCCCTTTTATTTTGAGATGCCTTGAAGGCCCTAAATTCTTAAGGTTCCCTATGTATGACTTTGGTTGGTAATGATAATCATTGATAATTTATATTGGATTATTTGAAATATTTTCTCATGTAGACTGTTGCCATGCACTAACGTGTCATAATGCTTCAACCAGTCTAACCACTGTTACACTATACTAAAAAAACATGTGGAACAATGTGAGCAGTTCCATATCTGTATTGCACACAAACTCTGGCCCATGTGTGTTAATAGACAGCCCTTTGGTGATGCAGGTGTGCTCTGTCTTAAGTGTTTTCCCCACGATCCTTGGTGTTTTGGCAGTTTGTGTTTGAACAGAGACGGCGAATAGAGCTGTTTAGCCCCGCGGCAGCCCTACTCGTGGCACGTTCCCCTCTCCGTGCGGCCTATCTCGGCCCGGGTTATCTCACGCCATTGGCGATGAACAAACCCACGATAATCACACCTGGAGTGATTCGCATGTTGGTTTTTGTTCTCGCTATCAAGTTCTGAGGGACGATGCACAATGTTGGCAGGAATCCCTAGCCCCTGTTTGCCACTTTCTGTTGATTTTGCACATCTTATACGGCTGTTGGGGGTATATTACACAGCTATTTGAGCTGGATAACACACATGTTTGGTTGTATTAATTTGACTTTTGACACCCTGGCATAGAAACTCAAACTGCAGAAAGGTATTTTATATATACAGTCGTGTTGTGAACCCAAGGTTTGTTTGCCTGTATAGATGTAAATCTATGACAGTCATATCACAGGTGCATGAACACTGGATTTCTGTGTGCTGCGGTATGACCTTTTTGAATAAATAGAACCAACCTGCCCTTGAGATATACATGCAGTACAAAAAGAGTACTGTAAGTCACTTTATGTTTGCGGTAGCAAAAGTTCGCAGTCTGAGAAAAATGGACATGTTCGCAGAGCTATACATTTGCGGTGGCGGCAGGTACAGAAAAAAGAAAGTTGGTGAATTTTTTGTTCACGGTAATGATAAGTTCGCGGTACAGTTCTAAGTGACTGAAAACTGGTATATCACAAAATCATACACACACTCACTCAGACAAACAAATTTCTGTGCCATACACATACCTCAGTGACTTTAACCAGCCATAGACTAAGGAAATCTCATTCAGGAATGAACCCATTTGAATACAGATTGCAGTTGATAAAAGCCAAAGTACAGCACGTCGAAAAGACCGCCACAAATTATCTAAATGCATTTTTGTTGTAAACCAGACTAAGCCTGTTTACTCCGAGATTACAGGATACGCCTGCTAAGCACTGAGTGTCTCGTGTTGTGGATTACATGTGGCTGTACGTTAGGCCCGACGTTGGGACAAAACCTTTACAGGCCAGCCACTAATGGGGCATTGATAGCCAAACTTGCAAAGTGTGGTACAAAACATAGCTGAATTGATACAAAAACTAACACTGACTATCTTCCTAGGTAGTCATTGTTTAGTCATTGTGCATAAGGAAAAGTAAAAGCAACATTATTTTACGCATGTGTGCAAGTATGCTTTTAAGTAGTTAAACAGAAAGTTATTATACATTATGTACATATAGCTGCCAACATGAATGAATACACATTGGGTAGTAGTTGTAACAAACTACTTTAACAATATTTTACAATGTTGGCAATAGTGTATCTTATCACCTGTACGGTACAGTGATTGTTAATGGTGGATGGTTTGCTTGCAGATAGCCTTAAATTGTAACACATTTTCCTGGGCATTACCATGTTTTGATAAGGCTATCACTTAATAGCTTGTGTATGCACAAACAGTGACTTTAATCATACAGAAGGTGACATCCCAAATACCTAAAGTCACAAGGTTTCCCCAAATTCGACTCTTGAAACACATTTAGTTAACCCATCAGTTCAGTACTTGTAGCTAAATGTTCTGTTGCTACAGGTTAATACATTCTGCATTTTGTACCTCAAAGCATTGCGCGATAATTGCAATTGTACACAATGCTCCTTTCTGTGACTAAACAGTCATTCTTCTGTAACTTGTTGTTTAAGACAATAAAGAGTACATTAGACCATAGAATGAAGACAATATGTACATGTATTACATTGTCGATATTAGGTAGTAATTGTTAATTGTAGTAAAGTATATCATTTCTAATTCTTTTCAAATATCAGGAAAACGTAAGCCAGCCATACTAATTGTGAACCTAATCCAGCATGCTGATGGCTTACTAGCTTTTTTTGTATTTTAGCTGTCCCATACGTGTATTGCAATCATGTACATACATGTACTAGTTACTTGTGTGAAGTATATTCAATTTGCAGATTGATATATGACTGTATGTTTCAGTTTGTGATATGTTATGGTGATGAGTATTGTGATGTGGAATTATTACCACTTGAAGGGAAAACAGCCACTTAGTCTAGAATGAAACCTCATTGTGGGGTAGTAGGATACATGATTGCAATATATGCATACCATGGCATGCCATATAGTTACACTTAACATGGAGCATGCAACTATTTGTCCCTGGGTTTTAGACTGACATACAACCTTGCAGACATAATGTACCCCAATGCGTTGAAATGCAACATATCTGACTCAATCACACATGATTATTCCGTTTGTTACCTCTTTAGAGGTTTTGTTATCGGTGGCTTTGTGTGTTTGTAGTTGTAATGAATACAGTAGACAGGAAGTGAGTGGAAGAATGATTTAACCACATACTGACAGGAAAGTCAAATTGGGATTCAAAATGGTCTCCCTGAGGAATTGAATGGTACAAACTTTAAGGCTACCTTTCTTTATTTCCTGTTTCCATCTACCTGTCTCATGTACTATTTAGTATTAGAGAAGCCCAATGCCATTGTGACAGTGTTTTGTTTTAATTGTACAGAAATATGGCAATGCCGCATAGCATTCATACGGGATCTCTCTCTCTTTTTTTGTATTTAGAGAATTGAAGAGGTTCAGGCTCTGCGTGAGGAGCTCATCAGGCTACGTGCTGATGTCATCAACCTGAAGAACCGAGAACCCGCCGTGCCTGCCGAACCGCCTCCACGTCAGGAACCCAGGCTACCGTTCTTCATCCGCAGTCCTGAGGACGACTTCACCTCACGAGTCACCCTGAACAAGTGGGGCATGTATCAGGCATACAGGTGAGAAGGATGCACGTGTATGCAGTTCACTAAAAGTCTGACGGCCTACAAGGCTATACAACGTTAACTTGATGACTGTTACAGTTTCAGAACTAGAGCTTAAACTTAAAGAAATTTTGGCAAAATTAAGAGGTGCCATCACTTTTAACACAATTGATATCCAGCCTACTGAATGTGAGTTCTTAACGGATTACAAAACATCTTCTTGTTGCAGTCCATATGCTGATATATGTCAATTCTATTATCAACAGCAACAGCAATGTAGGTCCCACACATTCACCGCCTAGTTTGGTGATAGCACTGTTGAGGAGACAGGCACTATGTGAACATAATTATTCTCACTATTTCTAACCAGCATTTAGTAGGAGCAGATTGGCTTATTGAGCATAATCCTTTGGGTAGCCACATACAGCAGCTAAAAATCTCAGAATTTCAGTGTTAGAATATGATACCTGAAACTTTTCTAACATCAGAAAACAAAAGATCATTGTGCATTCATTTCTTTGACCTTGTTCCAATCTGAAGCATGTGCTTTATCTTGTATGTTGGTTAAAGTGTTATGCCTAACGTACATTAGCCCTTATACAGATGGGACCTTAAGCTCACAAGACGAAGGACACACCAGATGTGCTATCACTCTCGCTAGTCCAATAATTCATCCATGACATTGTCGGTTGATTGAAATCAACTTTTGGCCATTAGCCACATGGTTCGCCCAGGTTTCTGCCAGCATATGGAGTATATGGACACCTTTTTTGTCTTTACACGACAGGTGCGGCACGAGGCCATTCGGCCTGGGTCCGCTCTCGATGTTCTGTTTCCAGGACATACAGAAATGGCAATAGCATTGGCCTCTCGTCCTGTATATACAAGCTGATAGTGGATCAGGCTCCCCATCTGCTGTTTTCTATCTTTCACACTGATTTTATTGTGTCGCGACGGTTCTATCAAGCGTGGAGAGCTTGTTTTTGCAAACTAGCGGCTGGCCGCACTTGTCCCCCATCTCCCTCAACCAATCAGGAAGTCTCGCCATCACTTCACACAGAGTCAGGCAACAGATGTGAGTTGAACAGAACAAATAGAAAGGTGATAGATCATATTTTTTCCTCCACTAAACATATGTGCCCAAAGATAAGTTTGTTGGCAAAGGAGGAGGAAGTGACAAAAGGGAAGTTCTCCTCACATTCAGGGCCGCCGCTCCAGATTGTGTGCCTGCAGCAGGGCACAGTCAGCCTTTCTCTACTCCTAATCCTTTTGCCACATTGTTTCTCTCCAGGGAACATATGGTTCTGTTTGTTTAAATAATTGCTTTTGCACAGGTAAAAAGTTTGTGGCCACAGGAACTGTTTTAGCAAATTTCATGAAGTGCTGACTTGGCATTTTTAGGTCACTGTGTATTTGTGTATGATATTCCCTCTCTCGTACAACGCTGAAAATGTTAAACCTAAAGTCAGAAAATTTCCTGCTTTCTTCCTCAATGCCTGGATTGTTACCCATTTCAGTTTTAGGAGTAATTGGTATTGAAGTGCCTCTGATAGATTAAAAATGTCCATTAAAAACACATCATGCAAATACATCTCCCATCTATCAGCAACTTGAGCCTACAGTAAATTAAGTTGGACATCTCAGTTTGACTTCTACTACCATCTTCTACACAATGGATTGATACAGCCAATTCCATTGTCTGTATATTAAGTGTTACATGTTTTTTTGTGTTCTCTTTTAGGTTCAGTACTTACTCATTCAAGATTGCCAACTGGAAGAATGTTTAACTTGATAGTAGTGTGCATTTGTATGTTTTGATACCAGCCTCTTGATTCAAATCAATGAAAAGTTGTTGAAGGTATTTTCAATCCCAAAGTATTTTTAAAAACTGTTACGGTATAACTGCTTTGTGGTCCTAGTTTAGAAGAAATGTTAAAAGTTTGAAATCTTACAGAACATTTTCTTCCGTAGGTGGTGGAAGATCAAACGATGCTGGCTGCAGGTGTTGGAAAGAGAACACAGCCCAACTCCACAACCCAAAACTCCCTCTCCCAAACCTCCTCAAACCCCAAAACAGGAGGACCGACCACAACAAAGAGGTCTGACTCCAAGCCAGAGAGGACACACTCCTGATAAACGAACCCCCACCCCACAAAGGAGCAGCTCAAAGGCAAAGAAACAGTCGCCTACTCCGAGGAAAGACGACGAGGGTTCAGACGGCGACGAATGGGGAGGGACAGCAGAAATAGACCCTTTTCCCTTGAAATAAGTTCAACATGATATGAACATCGACAAATCCTCAACATCATACAATCTCAGCAGTGGCTAGCTGAAAGCCTTTTCTTTTCCTACAGCAGCTTTCTGGATTTCCATTTATGGACATGCCATGATCACATGACCTGGGCATATATTAATAACTACTGATGGTTTAATCACCTGTGCATGTACATGTATGTTATAATGTATATTTTTCGTAAGTTAAAGGATTTCACTACATTACTTGTGTTCAAGTAGAAAAAGTTCCAGTTACTATAAGGATAGAAGTTTTGAAAATTGCAGTGGACTTTTTTGGTGTAAAGAACATTGCAAGACAGATTGCTTGATTAAAAATTTATTTTATATAATATGTTGAGAAATGACATTATTGGCCCTAGGTTTAGCTACAACCAAACAGTCCAACAATAAATATACATGTAAAACTGTAACAGGACAGACGACAAAGCCAGGCTATTGCTTTGAGGCCACTGCACAATGTAAAAATGTAACAAAAAAATAAATAAATAAATTTACTTACTATGCTGTTTTATAATGCCATTAACTATCAGGAAAGTTTATATAAACTGCCATGATCTATATTTGTAAACTTATATTATAATACATTGTGTTTATACAATGTATGTCGAACAACAACAAAAGACTGTATACATGTGGCCTGGTTTTGAATGAACATTAAAAGGTTAAACTTGCTTGCCATTAAGTAATACTAAAAGTGTCCCTTACCAAAAATACTAAATATGTTGCATGCCATTTTAGTGGTGTTTCCTTGTATCTAGTTGTATATATAATATGCATGTATTCATTTAAATTTGTGATATCTGTATTGAAATGCCATTCTGTATATTGTGAGGGCAGTACTTAGCTTACCATGATTGTAATTTTAGTACTTAATTTGTGTTGTATGTCGTGTACATAAGATTAACTTGTAATTACCAAAATAGAAAATATGTTTATTACACTATAACATTAGGATATTGGTATTAATTGGCTTGCTCCATCATGCCATCTAAAACTTAATAACCTTTAGTAAGCAGCCACAAAATATCATTTGAGAATTTGAAAAGTTTTTTAACGTTTCCTCTACATCCGTAAATGTGTGTATCATGCAGTAGAATTATTAGTGCATTGTGTTCAGAGATACATTAAGTTAATAGCCTCTTAAAGTATGTTTATGTTGTTGTGTAACCTCTGATACTGAATTTGTCATTTCTGATTTAATGTTGACAGATACATACTTTTCAAACCTTCAGTACTTAAAAAACACTTGATGAAAAGTAAACTTATAGATGATATTAACATTTTGAGCAGGGTACTGGCTGTTTTTCATGTTCTATGGAATTTCTCGACATTTTCTATCAACAAAATGCTTTTGTGATTCAGGTCTTACTGCATTTTAAATGTGTCTTTCCCGTGGGTTAAGACATTTCAAAATTTGACTATTCTAACTTCAACTCCATTTCTTAAAATACCATCTTGTATCCATGGAAGTTCTCAGGACACTCAGAGATCACTTAATTACATACCTATTACCCTGATACCATATCTGTAAACGTATATGTACCCACTAGTGTAATTGTAAAACCGGCTATATAACGGGGTTTATGATAAAGCCCATCTGATTGTTAGTACAGTAACTAACAAAGCTATGCCGTCCATAGGGGCCTTAAAATGCCAGTTGGGAACTTGCGTACATGCATCATGTACATTTTAGAAGCTTAAGTGTACTTTACTGGAAGAAAAGTCGTATTGGCAAAAGAAAGAAAAGAATTTAACTCTAAAAACAAGTATTTTCCTCAGAAAAATGCCCAAACATGTTGCCACACGCATGTTAAAAATACGTTCTTGCCCGTCCCTTAGTAGACTCACTTGATGTTATATGTAATATTCCGGTGACGTACATATCGGAAGGTTTTGTAAGTTGTCTTTTTGTCACAGACTGATATAGTTTACTTGTTTAAAGTTTGGTTTAAAACCTTATGTTGTCATGATTGTCGTTACTGTATGAAATAAAAAAGTTTTATAGACAGTACATTTGTACAGCATAACGCTTGCCATAGAGCTATATAGGTCGCGTCGGAAAACTTCTGACAATGCTTATGACAGTTTGAATAATGCAGAGCCCTTTTGCCGTGCTATTTGCGCTGTACATAATTTACAGTATAGTGTTTGCCCTCTCCTCCTAAAACAAAAACGGCCATGAACCGCCTTTCACGGTAAATGGTGCCGAATGACATACGAAGAGGTCTATTTTGGTAAAGGAGAGGCATTGTGTATCGGCAAGTATTTACCCAAACTGTTGACTTTCCACTTGCCTGAGCTGACAGGACGGCGTGAGAGAACAGACAAGCGTGTAGCAAAGTCCGTCCCTGGTTGTTTGTGACTTTTTGTTGTGTTTTGTCTCTAGGTACAACCCGTACTGACGTGTGTCGACAGAATTTGGCATACAGATGTTTCAACTATATTAAATGGTCTATGTTTACATGAAACATTGTGTCGCGACCAATTTTGTATTACTGTTAAAATATTTTATCTATAGTATGCTGCTGTCTTTAGCTATTAAATAACTAAAATAATTCTATCTCACACATGAGCTGTGATATATAAGTTGACTTTATTTTTTATCTCATCGACGATATACTCTAACTATAAGTAGTATAGACTGTGTGATTTGTAAAAGCCTAATCAGCCCACAATATGTGACACAGTAACATGAATATGTGTTTTAAACCGCAAATTGTTTTGGCCTTTTTTGCATTATTTGGATTATATCAACAATGAAGAAACTAGGTTATCGCAAAGTGTGAAATGTACTACAGGTTGGTTTCATCATACGCGTGTGTACGTGTAAAGTGATATACACGTGTGCAGCTATGGTTTCTTTAATGTATTTTAAGTATAGTTTGCATGTGTTCACACGATTTCTACATGTATATCTAGGCTCTGTGTTACAGTACCGTTTGCAATACGTGAAGTTTGGACCAAACAAGCGGCTGCTTGCCTCCGTGGTTTGTAAGGCCAGTGTTATGTTACGGAAGTAATCGGCCGGCGGAGTGTTTGCAGGGTAATATTTGACTACCGGTCCGTGCAAAAAAAAAATAAGTGATATATACCACATACAGTCAGCGATAATGGACTGATCCATTCAGAACGATAAGGGGTGGGCCAGCAAGAATTTTTAAAATGCCACACGGTTTGATAAGAAAAAATGGGAAAAAAAGCATAATATTATTACTTTCGAGTTGGTTTTATTTTGCTGTCTTCTTAACGCAAAAATGTGAAATCGCCAATACGTGCTTTTCATTTCTTTTATGTTAGAACTATTTCAACCTTGAACTTCAAATGCCGTGACCACCCCCCCCCCTCCCTAGCGCAAAATAAAACCACCACGAAAGTAAATCCATTCACACAAAAATGCAAGGGGCAACCGGTCTGAAGAACACAACACATACTAACCTTCATCCTTGCTTCTTGGTCTAAATCTATGCTGCTCGATTTTTAGCTAGTGCTTGTACGTCCTTCACTGTGATTACTATTAGAGGTCCCTCAAATGAGTTATCTATCTCTGCAATCGGCTATTTAATACCTCTTACTTGCTGCTAAGTCACTCCTAGATCCCGGCAATGGTGTATGAGATTTGGGGTGCATATGCTTCCCAACCATTGAGTGTCCCATAATAAAGATAAGTACGAAAATGAACTACTAACTAAATGAATAAGCGCGACAGCAAGAATAACGGGATGCATTGTCCTTTTTTTTATTTTTCCCCTGGCATCTTCTTTTTTTAATTTTAAAGAAGTAGAATTAGATGTACATGCTTCAAATTCTGGAAATTCATTTTCTTTTCTGTTGTATTACAGCATTGTGTCAAGGACGTTGCGGATTGTTCTTTCCCTAAATGTACAGGGACGCCCAACAACAGTAGTTCTATTGTTCCTTATTTGTTGGATGAGTGTCATTTATCATCATGCATACACACATACTATATCCAAGTGATAATGGTTTGTCATGAAATGTATTATACTAACTCGTTGCCTGATACATTAACAGTTTGTAATAACTGTGATCGGGGAATAATATTGCCGTATTTGACAACACGGGTAATGAAGGTTGTTTTTTTCAGAGATACATGTATAGCGCATCCTTTCGTTTCAAAATACCACCGCGTTGCTTCGTTCAAAACGAAGTCTTCAAGCAAGTTTAATTAAGTACATTTAGCCACAGTAGCAAGTACACTTTACAGCTTCGCCGTAAGATTGACGTACGATTTTGATGTCGTAGAATTTCAAGCAGGCTGTGACAAAACGAATTACCGACAAGAATCGATCTAAGCCAACCCGGTTTTCAACCAGCGGCTGAATTTTACGACAAATCCACGACTACTCTAAAGAATTAATGCCTTTGTTTCTGATCGTACGACGTTCTTACGACGAATGTGAATCCCAGTCCTTGACGATTTTGTACGATGCACGACTTAATCCGAAGAATTCATTTGTTTGCGTTCGTACGACGATTTTACGACGGATATGTAAGAGTGACCCCACCCCCCTTCCCCGTCGTGTAGTATGATACGCCCCAGTCTACACTACCAGATCTGAACTTTGACACAGTCTCCCAGGTGCGCAGCCCGCCGCATTCCTGTGTGTCATTAATCACGCTCCTGCCCTGCCCTGAGATGTAACCTCTCCTGTAAGCCTCTGTCACACAGCCTCCCGAACACTGCCCAACTCTCCCCCCAACGATGGTTGGGAGTAGGTCGGGAACAAGGTCGGCTGTGCTTAGCTGGTTTTTGGCGAGGTTGGATACAGTGTGTTCGAATATTGGGTGTAGACGGGAAATTCAGCCGTGGTTGGCCGGTTTTCTGGAGTAGGTCAGTTCGGGGCGTGTTCGGGGGTCAAATTTGACTAAAATCCGCAGCCTAAATCTGGTCAGACTGTTCCTGAGCGTCAGCCAACGTTGAACGGTTGGTTGTTGGTGACAAGGTTTCAGCTGAGGTCTGGACCGCCTTTCTCACACCGACCCCTAATGACGTCACTGTTTACTTTCAACCTCCACACCTGAAAATAAAAACGCTGAGTAATACACGAAATTTACCGGTAGAGCGCGTTGCTCTAACAGGAATGATTTGAAGTGAATCACCAACTTCCAGATGGTATAGTATTTGTACCATTACACACTGGGTCCTTTCCGTACTCTTTACCGAAAGGTGTGGTGGGTTCTTCAACGTGCGTGGGGAGTGGTTCTCTCCAAACACAAGACCTCCATTTAACGTCCTATCCGAGGAACGTCCTATCCAAAGCTAGGTACTCATTTTCACCTGAGTGAAGTGAGGAAAGTTGTGTTAAGTGCCAATGGCACACGGTGGCATGGCAGGATTCGAACTCGGGACCCCATGGTTCTGAGACGAACACTCTGCCGGTACGCTACACGACCCCACATGTTACACATATTGAATGTCGCCTGGCTCCCTATTCAGTTTTAAGAACTGTCACTTTTTCGTGATTTAATTCACAAAACCCATGTTTTCCTTTCATGATCGACAAGTATCATGTTATTTTATAGTACAACTCTGCCTAATATATGCTTTAACGACAAAAAACAATATGTAAGATTTCTGACACAAAAGACGCTACGCACAGGCGTTTCGCCGTACTCAATAAAAGTTTCACAAATTTGCGCACAGCTTTACAGGACGTCTCTCGAAATTTCGATTTCGTGCCCCGCATATATGGGTCTCTCTTTATATATATGAAGTATTGGTTAATACAGACAGGTTGTGCTTAATGTATCGCTAATGTCCAATTATTGATTAAACTTTTGTGGCTGTTATTGATAGATACATAATCGCATTCCGTATCTTGTGATCATTCCGCATCTTGTGTGTACATAGCAAGCATCATTTGTAATATTTGGGAAATCATAATCTGTGTTTACCTTGCCTAAAACTATATTTTAGTTAGAGAGAGCTACAACCTTATTATCCAGTTTTGCCTTATGTTTTGGTGAAGGGAAGCCTTTGATTGTGTCGTACTGTTTACAGTTTCATACTTTGTAGCAGACCGGTCCGTTCGCACGGAGATACATACGTCCAGTTTACATCATGGGGCTTTCAAACAGCCTACAACACGTCCCATAGTCATGACAGATGGCTCTAAACTATGCGCTGTTGACGTAAAGTTTGGACATGCTGGTGTGTAGTGAGGTGCCAGTCATGTGGTCTGTACGTACAGGCTTATCTCAGGGGTCATTCGTTCGTCTATGAAACAGCAGGCCTGATCCATCCGGGCCATTCTGTCTACAGGAGCCGTAACGTCGAGCTGGGCTCTACAGGGTGTGCCGTTTGGTCGTTATTGGACGTTTGAACGTCAGTCGTAGGTAAGGGGTAGGTCACATACATTTGTCGCACGATCGTCGTACGATTACAAAATATTCTTGGGATAGTCGAGCATTTGTCGTTTACAAGAACTGTTACGTTAAACTGATTTCTACCAGGTGCACCGATTTGTTCTAGTCGTCATCGGACGCTGGAACGTCGGTTTCAGGTAAGGACCCGGTCGCATTGGTCGTAACATAGCAAACTGAGGACATTCTCGGGATAGTCATGCATCTGCCGTACACGACACTAACACATTGCTGCCGTACAACGGCTGATTCTGTCACAACATGAATGAGAATTCTACGATATTAAAATCGCACGACGACCTACGACGAATGTGACGGTGCCTTAAGTATGCGTCAGACTATTCCGCACTGTGAAATATAAGAATATAGTCGACTATATTTGTACCTACAAAACTACGGAAAAGTGTGTTTAGACACTGGGCATTTTCTGAAACAGAGGTTTCTGTGGGATACTTACGTTATGTTTTTATAAGGAAGGACCGCATATCTTCGGCTTCTTTTCAATACCGTTTCCTTCTTTATGGTAAAGATTGGCATCCCCATCACAGTAGAATCTAATATCAGCATGGTCATTATAAGGTACTCTGGGAGCTCTTTTTAGTATGCTGGTACATTGTACTTGTTTATTCATTACAATGCAATTTACCTCTTGTTATATTGAAGAACGCCTTGGGTTAGCTTTGAAACTTTCTTGAAGGATTAGTTTACCTATCATTCAAGGCAAAAGTATTGTTTCTTAAAGCGGGATCAACGTTAGAAATTATAACATTCGCAAACATGTTTATCCTCCTTGGATTCAGAAAGTGCACGAAGAATTCTATCCGCCGTAGTTTGTCTGCCGTGCGCGTGTTAACATGAGAGTATTGGGCGGGATTTCCGATAAATGACAAGTGTCGGTCCGGTAGGGCCAGAGATAAAGTTGCCCCACGCGGCCCCGCGCGCCCGTCGCAACCTTACGGTCCTGCAGGCGAGAAAATCCGCTAGGGGGCGTCTTCACTGTCCTATAAAGTATATTCCTGTTACGCACATCCATGCTCTAACGTAAACTTTGTATATAAAGGATGTGTGATAACAATCGAAAGCTTTACATATAAAATTATTAACGTGAAAGAGGAACCCTTTAGTCTAGTGTTACGGTAAACCAGTTGCTGCACGATCGGGGGCGAACACACACACACTGCCGCCCGCCCGGGTTTGTTTGCCCGCCGCTTGTTGACACCCGCGCACGTATACGGGTTCTAAAGGTCGTCCCCGAACGCTAAGCCTTTTGTTAGCGAGTAAACGGCCGCTTGCAAATAAGAACTGCCCGGCTAGCCATGTTCCCGTCTTACAGCTGAGGTGCACTGCTGCCGGTAGGTTCACCGTGGAATCTGCCTGTATTCTCTGGCATTGGATGAGCGTCTGTTGCCGGTAGGTTGACTGCAGTGTCCCGGTCTCCCATACACACCACGTGCTGAGAACACTTGACAGGTGAGTGCTTGAGTCCAAATCACGCATAAAACATGTCAACATGTATGTCTGTTTTCCTTTTGATATGATATACCCTACATATAGAATTCTTTTCCGTTGGGCCCACAAGAACATTTTCTTTCCTTCCTCTTTTCCAAACTCTTAAAAAAGATTATTTTTATTATGTAGATCCTCAAGTAACTGGCATTGCATTTTTGTAATATATATTTTCGGACAATATCAATCCATATTTGCCCTTCTTTTCTTGATAATACCGCAATAATTTTCGGCTATGATAGTTCCGTATTCTTAATATGCACATAAAGCCTACCGTATATTGAGACTCAAAAGGCCAATTTTCGAAGAGGCAAGTAGTGTACAAAAGTGTTTCTTCCATGTTTACCTTCGACACGTAGAAGACCACACAGCTGTCACTTGTATCTATTCAATGACAGTCACTCAATATAAAGCTTACTTAGTGCTTTCGTTAACAGAAATTAGAAGATATTTTGTAGCTTTATGAGGCCATGTAGATGGTTGTTGTTTTAATGGTACTTCACACACCGGGACTTTGAACACCTCCAAACGGCCCACTAAAAGGGACGACGTTGTTAAAGATGTTTATATAGTAATTACAACACCGCAATGACCCTTTCCAGAGCGTAAGAGATGCTAAAAGTATCGCCATAAACTGATTAAGACGTTAAAGGAATATATGATTTCTGTACTTGCGTATGTAGCAGGAGATGTAACGTTGAACAGGTGTAGAAACAAATAAACACAGCACTATAGCTTGTATACTGGTATATACCGTGCAATTTACATCTTAATGTTTGCAACAGATTGTTATTTTTGCACCTATAGGCTGTGGTGATGTGTTGCCACAATTCACGGGCATACAGTGCGACATTAGAGGTGGTTTAGCGTCAGTGTTGTAGCTCTTAAGGCTGGCCGACGTTACTTTCCACCGTTGAGTGCCGAGATACGACCCTAACCCGCGTTTCCAACCACCAGGCGTTGTGCTAAAGAGCCATGATGGCGGCGTAGCACCCACACAATACAGTTCCGTAGATGGACCACACACACATGGACATTCCCAACTTAACAGTCACCAAAACTCTCCCCATGACCCTTGGTTAACCCTGTGAAAGTTTTCCCCCCGCTAAAGCATCTGTCTTTATGTTAAAACATCTCTAACCGGCGTGCCTGGATACCGTTAAGTAGCGTTCCCGCCCTTGCATACATTTTAATTGAATTGATAACAGACATCAGTTGGTGAGCGACAGCTCCGCCTAAATATAGGAAGTCCCGGAGAAGTCTGGTTGATAAGGGCAGAATTGTTTTCCTGATCGACTAAGTGGAGAAGGAGATAGAGCACAGATACAAAAGTGTACACTCGCCTGTTGGCGACCAACTTTGGCGCATTCCATACCAACTTGTCACTCATTTTGCCATACACTGAATATATGCAAATATTAGTCCTGAACGATCAGTCATCTGAAGTGGAACCTTATCGTTGAAGGTTTTGATACTGATCTTGCAAAAGTTGGCCGTTTTTGTGACTATTGTGGGGCTGGACCTTTTTAACTTGGCAAGTTTGGGAAAATAAGACCACTAAGAGTCGGCTGTGCAATCTACGTGTTTGTATAAATATACCGAAAACTATTCACTAAATTCTGTTCGAATACCATGAATGCACTCAATGTTGTAAACAACATATATTGAATGATTTCAGAAACCAAGGGCTTGATATATAAACATGTAAGTTATAGGTACATATTCTAATGAGATAGGATCCTAATCTACTACTTTGTCTAAATATGCGCATTTCAACCAATAAAAAAATCAGATCGAATGCCATGAATGTAATGTTGTAAAAAGGGGAGATATTGAATGATTTCGTAAGTCAAGGCCTTGCTACATAAACACCGTACCGTTATCATTTTTTCATTCACTGATTATAATATTGACATGTGTAATACGTGTAATATTTTCCAGTTATGTTTTAGTAAAACTAGTTTGTCTTAGAAGAACTAAATAGAACTTGTTTACAAAAGGACTAGAACACAATGTTTATCACTAAGATACTTGTTAAACAGGTTGCTATAGTCCTAAGATACCAGCGCCTATTGTCCCTCATAGGGACACAACGGGTAAGAGGATGCAGGTCATTGGATGTTACTAAGGATTGTTGTGGTCCTTTGTCCTATCATGAGCTGTGCTAGATAATCTGATAAATTGCTAAAACATCTACCATGACAATATCTACTTGTATAGTGTAAGAAAACATTGTACGTGAATAAACCATATAAAATACGAATGCTGAATTTCATGATAGAATGCTGACTAAGTCCACTCAAAATACTCCAGTATGCCTTACCATATACCCTCTTCTGTTTTATACGTTTCTAAAATAATATAAACTAATCAAGTAGCGTACATGAAAAGATCTATAACCTAAATGTGGTGACTGACACTGCATATGTGCGTTATTTTATTACACATAGCTAATCTTTTTTGAAAATCCCACGATTGCTTTTGTAGAGTAAAAACCTTTTGACGTTTCAAGCCACCTTTCAGTGCTACAAACTTCTACACAACAAACCTTGTATTGAAACCTTGAACAAACGATTGCATGTTCCCCGTCAGGGTGTTACCTTTTACACCATTTAATTGACCGCAAAGCGTTAACACACTGTACCAAGCTTCCGGACCCGGACAATGGCTGACCGCTCGGTGACCCCTATGTCCTCTCGGTGACCATCCGAAACCATACAGGAGCGGCTGTATATTCTTTTCACAGCTCCTAAAATCATTAACGTGCAATAACCGCAAAAATTTAGGGCTGAGTTCATAAAAGTTCAGTGGACATGTCATGCCATGTTATTTTTAGACCCTAATACAAAGAATATAGGATATTGTATCTATTAACTAATTCGACAAGTGTATATATGCGAGCTTGCCAAAACTTCAAAAGCACTTCGGACAACCTCTGGCATTTCTTCACAACAAAGTGTTTATGTAAGAATAGCCGCATAAATATCCTCTAATGTTCTAATGTTTTAAATCTAAAAAATGTATATTTTGTTGCATTTTTTTCAGTTGCTATATTTGTATAATTTTATTTTCATTCACTCAAGAACGAATAGGATATATGCCTAATTGAGATCTAAATGAAACTAAAAGAAACCATGTTATCAAATTTGAATACTTTTACATTTTGGAATGAGCTTTGCTAAAAAATAAATGAAAAAAAAACAACATTAATAGGATTTTATGTTCATGGAGATTTTAACTTTATACATTAAGTTAGGCATACATCAATTTAGTCCTAAACACAAAAGGCTTTTTTTTTTCAAGAATATATTGGAAGTAACATATGAAAAACAGAGTTTTGTCCATTCAGCCTCCACGCACCAGGAAGACCACAGTGATCATATGGGTAATTGAAAAGTAATGTAATCTGTACATTTCACCTTACCCCCGTTACCTGTGGTCATTTACCGTACGAAGTAGTTAGTAAAGCTGAACAATAAACACCAATTACTTTTATTACTATGATATTAGTACTATTCTTCTTTAAGGTATAAATACGATATACGCAAGCAAAGTAAAAACCATGGAGGTAGAAACGAAACACACTTTTGACACGCGACAATTGCAAAGACACAACGTTAATGATTCTCCTTATCAACACTGCAATATATTTCCTCTATCTTATTGTCTCACCCTACTGATAACCACCTGTTTTCTTTATTACCCATTTGACACAACTGAAGTAGGGTCATAAATATTTCAAAGAGTGTCCAAATATATCTGTAATGATTGTCTATTCCACGGCAATCATTGTTGACGGCTGGTGCCCAGTGTTTTATCCAGAACCGTGCTCTATCCAAAACCATGCACGGTTCTGGATAGCCCATGTGCACCCAGAACCGTGTCTAGAGCAAATCTATGTTCTTAGATGCGCGGAGACTCCCCCCCCCCTTTTTTTTAACTGGGGCAGAACAAAATAAAAAAAGAAGAAAGACTAGACAGAAGAGACAATAGTTTTCCTAACTATTTTCTTCTCTCTTTTTTTTTTTGGTAACTTTTCGACGATACTAAGACTTTGACAAAGGAAAGAAGGCAGAAAACAGATGATGCGTTACCACGACAGGTGACTGTCCAAGTGCTATCCAGAACCGTGCCTGATCTTAACCCTTACCCATTCAGACACAGAACTAGATAGGCACGGTTCCTGCCACTCGTGTGTGTGGTAACAGACCTGTGAACCGTCCCAGGTAGTCAAACAACTTTTGTTTACCGCATGTTTACCTGTCGACTGCTCGGGAAACAATGGCTTCAAATAAACCGTCACCTAATGTACCGCCCAGACATTATGATACTCATTGCTTTTTAACAGGATGTGAATAATGTGTATTCCTTTTGATTGAAAGAGTGGGGTCAAGACCCGATCACTATCGACGCCGCGATGACTTCATCGCCTTGTTGACCAATCACACTTCAGTATTCTAATTTGTTTTTCTTTACCCGGGCCTGAAATCAACATGCCGACCTCTGGGTCTCCATAAAAGATCAGTGGACTAATCCGCTGTAGGCGCACTAGCTGTAGTGATTACATTGTAAACGGGGCTTGTGGTGAAACAACGGTTTTAGCCTCTGCAAGGTACTCAAACGATTTTTCAAGAAGGCTTTGCATATATACATTGCTACTTTGCATAACATTCATTGCTGTGGTATCTTAAACTATCCTTTTTGTTTAGTGTGTATGTGTGTGTGTGCACTATTCTGTTTTGCAAGATATTATATATGAACACTTAATTTTTTACTATTTTACTACCGGCGAAAGTTTATTTTCTTATTTCAGCGTTGTATTATTGTCTAAAATGGTCTAAGAATAATCTGCTTTGACTTAACCCGGCTTACCAACTGTCTCTGCTTACCAACACTGGCCACTGGTTTTGGTTAGGCATTTCTTTTAGATCTGTACAGAGACTAGTTATGTACGTCGTACGATCGGAAACTGGTGAACATTCTTTGGATAATCGTACACGTGTCCACAATATCCAGCAGTCGTCATGTCGTCTTGTCGGCGGTTGCTTCAGTTGAAAAAAAAAATCTACAAAATCGTATTACCTACGGCAAATGTGATCAAACCAGTACCTATGAAATTATACTTTTTGGCGCTTTATAGTATTAGAAGAGCATGTTTTTCTTTCTTTTTGCTACAGTTCCCAAGTTAGCGTTCAGCAAAGCTCAGCAGAGACAAGAATCTGACACCCACGCACCCAGCGGACACATATGGCCGTGTGCTTACTCCAACCCCTCGGTTACTCTACCCAGGTGAGTCATAACGACATTATCTGTAGTTATCAGATCCTGGATTATAAACTGTGTGTGTGTGTGTGTGTGCATGGGGGGGGGGGTAGTATGCGAGAAATCCAGAGTTGCATATTTCAGACAATGTGTTCCTTGATTTTTCTTTGCGCTTGAACTTAATTCTCCGATATTTCAAAGAAACGAGCGCTACATTCATGCTTTTAAAATGTGTATAAATACATCAGATATAATACACACAGTTACGCTGCAGTATTTTATTACAGCTTTTATATATATATATATATATTATCGTATACATGTAATGTATGTCGTGTTATACTTTGTTCAAATGTTACGGCCGAATTTTTTTAGTTTAGAATTATACGTATGTCTATATTGAATGGGAATGACTTTGCCAGCAGTCCATATGCTATAATACACTTTATAATACACGAATTTAATTCCATTGATACCGATGTGTATTTTTATTCCCGAGACTTAGGTTTGTATATATGTGGATTTTACTCAACCGATGCCTAGCATTAAACATTGCAGCGCTGAACAGATTTTGCTATACCATACCTGCATTTATACAATGTCGAATACAATGTAAGTTGTATGTATCTTATTATTCCTAATATCAATGAGGTAGATTTTGGCTTTATTATATCAAACGGATACATTTTAACATAGAACGTTAGCTAACCGTTCGGTAACTTGTAAGTATTAAAATATTACAATTATTTATCACATCACAAAACGTCTGGATAGCCCATTCAGCTAGTAGCCGCCGCTTTTCAGCTACTTTTCAAATAGTTAGCAGACGGTAGACATTACCAAAATACCCAAGTAATCTGTAAGGTATTTCATTATGCTATAATCAATGAAAAGATTCTGACTATATTTATCACACGTATATATTTTTGAAATGTAGAACGTTAACTGGCAGCTAGATAACTACACATATAAATAATAACTTGCCAGTGGACGGCAGAGACTACCAAAATATTTCTGGCCAGTAATTTGTAAAGCTGTAACATTTTATTTGTATCGTCCATAGGATAGATTCTGTCTTTAGCCCTTGAACCGTATTTTCGTAAAATGCAAAACGTTAACCATCCGTTGGATAACTTTTGCATATTAAATTAAAACACTGGTGAACAGTGGACGTTACCAGAATGTTCCTCATATCATTCAACACACTTGTAAGCGATCCAACCATAAACCTCCACAGCTGCGCCGTCCTGTGTCCACAGCTAAAATTGTTTGCTGCCCATTTAGCCCATGTTGTGACAACTGGGGGCTTATGTTTGGCCGGTTTAGCAAGCAACCGCCGAAATTTGGGGCTATTTTTCCCGATCTGGGTAGCAACAAATTGACACGTTGCGCTCGAGTTAACATAAACAGGATGGGAACTACATGCCTAGAAATGTACTTTAGTATCGTTGCTGTGTAGAGAGGATGCATAAACACTTACAGCTTTTTAAGATGGGGCGGATAAATTGTGTGGTTTGGTGACTTCCTACCCGGCGGCCCCTTGTACATATAAACTCGTACAGAACCAGATATGGCCCAAACTCAAGCACACAGAATAAGCACCAGTGAACACAGGTCAAGCAAATAATCCTCCTCGATACCCTGTTGCAAAAATAACCAATAGTCGTTCTTTTCTTCAAAATAGAACTATAATGAAATCGTTCAAACCGTTTTATACCGGTGGATTTATTGTTTCTCCATACTTGAGTATATATTGAAGGTTTTGAGTGGATTGAAAACGGTGTAAGTTTCAAGTGATCATTGGTGACCTCGGTGTGACCCCGTGTTGTGGGTACTGGTAAAAATTAATGGCGAAATCAAACCACATTTACAAGAAGAATAAAATTAAACTAAAGTAACAGAATATCTAAGGTGGTATATTTTGCTTTATATGAAGTTTGAAATATACTTTGCAAGCATTCATAAATTACGTATAAAGGAGTAAAATTTGAAAGCTTTTATGCCATAATTTTGCTAATCGCAAGCTAGTTGCAAAATATGTTTGAAATTTTCATGTCATAGAAATTTCAACTTATTGGGGATATTGCTGTCAATAAGATGCATAGGAAGATCCCAAAATCGAGATGACAGAAATTCATAAAAGAAACCATAAAATTCATGTGGTGGTAATTATTCATAATTCGAAACGTACACTACTGTAACTCTTGAAACTTTCGCGTTGTTGGGGTCTATGGTGTCTTGAATTATGTATTACCATAATTATAGTATCCAGAACCATGACTATGTCATTCTATGTCTGAATGGGTTTGGGGTAATCTGTATGAATTCAAGAACGTCGATTTGCCCCAAGCATCATTCGGGATACATGTATACATGTGGACTATCCAGAATCGTGCCTGAGCATGATATGGCTAAAGCACGTAGTATTACAAGAGAGGAAAATTCCCAAATCAACGGTAAAGGAGACATCTCGAAAATAAAACAAGTGCGAAAGTTGCACGTTTTACAGTATGTGAAAACCTACTGGGTAGCTGTATAATTAAGTTATTATCCCTCCAATCACAATTGTCCTGCTGTCTTTTGTTGTGTAATAAGATTACTGAACGATCAACAATCGTGTAAAATAGCGGCGAATAAATTTGACCAACATCTTGTCGAACAAGCCCCCACGCTTGCGAAAATAAACTAATTAAGAAAAGTGGGATTAAACCGGATTAAACACCTCTTATCAGGTATAAGCGCCTAAGAATGTAGCATTTCTGATATCCAGTAGTCTATTTTGCAAATAACTAACTTGATTGATGAAACCAAATGAAGGGCATGTGGATGCATCAGGATGTTTTGTTGAAGCAATATTTCGTTGTTTTGGCACAGGTTCTGGTGGTGTTACGATTTATATGTTTTGACACGAGTTCTATAGTGTTACAATCTTCAAACAGACTCGCACAAAGCTTTCAGTTCAGGAGTCTTCATACTACAACCCAAATGTACCCAGTAAACATATTTGAGAAGCAGCCACACATCTAACACGTATGCAGTGTCCCAAGCGATACCATGAGGCTTGGAGAATTCGGATGTTACCTGGTTGTGTTGTCCTCATAATCGTGCGTAACGACGACCGCATTTTGGGAACCCGTTCCCCGACAGCAGACCGACAGTAAGGTATCCCGTGAGAGTAAACAGGTCATGTCGGGTAGCGGTTGTAAGGGTCAGGCTACATTGGGCAGTAGCCAGTATGGTGTGGTAGGCCGTCGTACGATCTTGATGTCGCCGAATTTTCGACTAATTTGTGACAGAACCATCCGCCGACAAGGATCTAAGATAGAATCTTCTTAGTAAGACGTACAGCTGGATTTTGTACGGCGCATGCACAACCATCCTGAAAATGTATCTGTTTGCTATCGTACGACGATCTTACGACAAATACAAGCGGAGTCTCACCGACCGTCTGTGGAATGAGATTGGCCGATTTGGCTGGCATTTTATATCATAGCTGTAAGAAACATGGCATTTTTGGCATGTACCAATCAAGATTAGATCATCCTTTTCCAAATCCACACAACTCAAGAAACGCACAATATATTTTTATCACCACCATCCTAGTACAATGTGTGGGTACAATATTCTCATGTCGCATGATGCACAGTTTGTATAAGAAAGTTGAATTAGGAAAAAGAATAGAGAGTGGCTAATGCCTTTTAGGAATGTGACAAGTGTTGTTAGTTTCCCCTGGCTATATTTAAAATAAAAAGAATGCTTAGATGTTAATGTATGTGTAAATATCATAGACCGTATTTTCGTTGAAATTAAATACATCATCTGACAGACAACTATTGCAGGCTATAAATTAAATCGTGCAATTTTACGATGGAGCAAATCATTGAATATTTAATATGGGAAAATATATAACAAGAAAAAGCATCCACACGTTTTTCTATCTATTATTTTCTTTTGTCGTGGTTTTCAGAAAAAGTTGCTTTTACTTTACAAATGTATGACATATTTCCAAGTTCATTGTATCTACACCAACAGCAACATTATTTCTATCCAACAATGCAGTACAATAAAATTATATCTTAAGATTTCTGAGGTATAAGAGAACTTTGTCCCGTGGTATTAGTCAGCGATATGTCCGGTGTGTGCTCTGCGGCCCCCGGTCCTAGCAACGGTGCGTACTTTGTCCATCGCCTGACGAGGGTGGAGGTAGGCCGTCTAACACCATGTGAAGACACGCTGACATTCTTTCACCAGTGGTCTAGCCAGTAGTCGTCTTATAGTCTCCACCAAATTCCTTTACAGGCTGAATGAATAGTACAAATCGACCTAAAATTGAATGTAACTGGACAGGGAAGTTAGGTATATTGGACCCGAAGTTCCTCTATTGCCGGCTAACTCTCCTAGCCAGCTATATTCATTTTCAGGCCTATTTCTACTATTCATTCAGCCTGCAAAAGAGTATGATGGAGACTACGTCTACCGTCTTTCTGTCATTTGACGGAATTTCGGCGCTCATGACAAACAGAAAAAAATCAACGTGTGTCCCTAAAATACAGGAAACAGCCTTTGAGAGAGTCAGTAAAATTTCAAAATTATCCTGGGGGGAGCTTTTGCACTCCAACAAAATTTAGTTGACGGGAAAATTCCAGCCTGGGTAGAATACTGCCTTGCACCATTTCTTTCTGTCGTATTTTGTCGTAAGCTACGTATGTTATGACAGAACTGCTATCAATTGCAAGGCTTCACGACATCATTTTCCGTTAAAAAAGACTGTCGGAAGATTGTCTTGGATACGCAAACCTATCGTACTATGGGTGTGCCCAGCCCTAACACGTGTGAACGCAAGGGCAGCAAAAAAGATATGCCTAATCAGTAGGAATCGATGTTGTATCCAAGTGGCTTGTAAATACTTGTGAAATATTTTATCAACTGTTTGTTTTATGCATGTCAATCATACCAAAAATATCGTCACATTGTTCTCGGCGAATAATAGGGGCATTGTCAGTGATCAAAACTGCTTTCCAATGTTTTGCTGCCTTTCTAAAGTAAATTATGGCATTTGTTACACATTTTATTATATTTTGGTTTACTGTAAAAATTATAACATGCATATCATCTTGACCCATGCATGTGCACAGTTATAGATTTCTCCGTTTGAAAATATTTTTCAAAAGAGCCTGCTAAAGGTTAGAATTTATGACACTATGTCCGTTTCCCTTCTCCAACATATCCCAATCGAAAATGCATTTTATTAACGCTTCCGGAACGATTAGGAAAAATGAAATTTTAATTTTTTTTCACCTACAAATAACGGTACTGATTACTCACAACTCTCCTACCGGGTCGTATTGTTTTCAGGCATAATTTTGGCTAATCACTGCACCATTTACTGTAATGGCAATGTCACACTATATAACTTAGGATCTTGTTACATACGCCTTATCATCGTAATTAGATCGCAGACTGAAGATATTCCTGGGATAGCTAACCGTGTGCTCTTAAAAATTCAGCTGTCTTGCCACGGAAAAGGCTGTTGGATCCGTGTCGGCAGTTGGCTCGGTCACAGCCTGCTTTAAAATTCTACAAAAATCGTCCGACGACCAACTAGGAATGTGACCACGCCGCTAACCATATGTGTAGCATTATCAGTTGGGTTCGTTTGGTACATGTATTAGGATTTAGATATTAGGATTCTCTTCGAGATCTTGATGAATAGTATTTCCATTCCTTACGAAGTCGTAAGATTCGTCGTAGATCGTCGCACGATATTGTCATCTTATGTTAATTAGATTTCAAAGAATTTTGTGACAGAATCAACCACAGACAAGCATCAATGGAAGCCTTTCTTTTAAAAACAGCTAATTCGTCTTCGACACTTGCAAAATTAAAAAATAAAATAAAATGCCCTCACTTTGCGTTCGTACGACGATGGTACGATAAATGTGACCAGGATTTGAAAATTAATGTGTAAATGTGATACATTTGCTTGATGTATTCAGCTGAAACCTCCTACCGTTCTAGCATAAGTATAGAAACATTAAGAGTCGCTCGCTTTTGTGTTTCAACATCGCCATCCGGCCCGGAGATGACTTCTCTATACAGCCTCGTCCACCCTTTTCCGAGTGTCCGGAAAGCAGCTTTCAAAAATAGCCGAGATACCGTCGTTAAGAAGTCATTTGTATCACCCCAGGCGACGTTTTTGCGATGGTTGAGCCAATTTCGGGCGGGAATAAACCACATTTAACGACTGGCTAAACACGGGTCAGTGTATTGAATGGGGATTATGTCCACTAGTGGGCAAACGTACTGTACCAGCGCCCCCTATGGTGAAGTGCAGGGACTTTTTTTTCCATTTTTTCTTTGGCTTGTATCGTGATGGTTATTCAGATTACTAATGAAATCTCCGTTGCATATTCCCTTAGTTAATGCAATGTATTTTTTATGAAACTAAAAGCAAGAAAAAATACAAATATAGCAATATTTTAGCATATTCGCGTTGGAGGGAATTTGAATCTGTGGCGTACATGTAACTTCATTTCTCCTACGTATTGCACCAAACAGATCATTCCTAGAACCATTTTTTTATTACAGCATGTATGGTATTTATGTATATTTCTGTGATGTGTATATAGACACAGCTCTACAACCGATAATGACTTTTTCTGACTGCTCTGGATAGCGATATTGGCATTCCCGCTTAACCTATCCAGAGGGTACTTGACTTATCCATCCCATATGTTTTTCAATTTTATGTAACCTCCTACAGGTTTCCATAGTATAGTTTCTACGTTTGCACAAATTGTACAGCGTAACAGATCTTCTACCGGTATACCAATAATGACTCTTAATTTTTTTTCACAATTACTGACGTTTTGGATGTGTTAAATTAGACGTTTCTGAAGCCATACCATACGAATCAAATTGAGCTTTAAGCCAGGATTGTCCAATGCTTTCTTTAATGTACAAATACAACAAAATAATGCCTTAAATACGTGTCAACAGAAGACATGACTAAAATTCAAATGCAAAAATAGTGAAGATGCATTAAACATTTAACTTTACCCTCGAGCTCAACATTCGCGCACTGGCCACGTTCGTCGTAGATTGCCGTGGCCGTACGATATGTTGAGATTTCCAAGCTAGTAGGCTGGGACGTCGACAGAAACGGCCGACAATGATCAGATATGGTCTATATAACAGAACAGGTAAATTTCGTAAGACTAATTTACGAATATCCCACAAATGCTATCAGCTTGCGACCGTACAAAGATCTTATGACGAATGTGACCAGACCGTAATCAACAAAGGAGAAAAGCTTTGGAGGCCAATTGCTTCATATGCATTCTACTATCTACATTTCTAATTAAGACTGGTAATTCAGGGATTTAATTAGACGTTTGCCTACCAAGAGGTAAAAAGATTACTATATGCCCTTCTAATGACAGGAAAGAGAAGGTTGTGACACTTATTCGACAAAATAAAGTAAAAGCAAGGAACGAAACAAATGAGAAATATGCTGGTTTGAAAAAATATTATATATCCTATTTACTTTTTCATTGTCATCATTTAACGCAATAAACTAGATTGACGCTTAAAACACTCGTATAACACAAAACCGTTTCCAAGCAGTGTGTTACATATTCACTCTCAATTTTATTCCCTAGCAATTAGCACTTGTCAACATCATTTGTATTTTGGACATTGATATTCACCATTGCATAATAAGTATGACAGTGGCATTATTTACTTTTAATTTATTGTGATATTTCATTTGTATATATGTATATTTATGAAAAAGATTTTAATGTTAAAATTTCAACTCAGTTGACTGGGTCAGCCATTCTAATTATAGAGATTTAGTCCGCATGCGCGTGTTTGAGAGAGTCCAATATTTTGAATGGCTGGGCATCGGTTGCAGGGCAATTATTTGATTAATTGTGTGACAGGTACGGGCTGTGATAGATTGATTATATTAACCCACTGTGCACCACGCACGTTTTGTGTTTAACAACAGCATGAGAATATGGCTACCGGTACTGTGGTGAAGGCGGGGGCGGATGGGAAGGACGACCACACCCGCAGGCGATTCTCGGACGCCCCGATGCACGACGTCACCGAGTCCGAAGAGGAAGACGAGGAACTCGAGGACGATGACATCGACAACGTGTCCACCTACACCGGGGAGGACGCCGAGTCTCCTCGGAGCGAGATGCTGGCAGAGCCCGCATGCGACATGACCAAACAGCTGCTCGACTTCGCGGAAGCGGTCAACAACGACATCCAGAAATACTTCGGCAGAAAAAAGAACGACCCGGACTCGTGCGACATCTACGAGGATCGCTTCACGTCGGGAAAGTCCGGTCGGGAACTGTACTACGCCGACCTGTTGCGAATCGCTCAGAACGGCGATTCTGCCGACTCCGGCACCGCCAAGTCGAACTCTCAACAGACCCGAAAAGACGGCGGCAGCGACGGGGTCTACAAAAAGGGCGGCACGCTTGGCCCCTTGCAAGACCTCTTCGAATTCGGTCTCAAGAAACACATCGTAGAAAACAAACTCATCAAATCAAGCAAGAAACTGAAACGTCTGAAGCTAGATACACGTCTTGAAGACATCGTGCCAATGCAGAAGAGAAAGCTGCCGGATTCGTTCTTTAAGGAACCGTACGCGAGAGTTTCGGACGGGCGGGTAAGCCTTGTCAACTCCAGCACACCAGACTTTAGCGACCTGTTAGCCACTTGGACCGAAGTCGGTGGAAGTGAGGTAAGCGGGGAGGGGGAGTCGTCCTCCCCGGAGGACATGAGCGTGGACACCGCCGAGAACTCCCCCATCGAACGCCTAGCATAACGGTAGTCGTCATCGTTAGAACAAGTGTGTGCTAAGTACATACAAACGCGGACTAGCGACAAGGATCTAGTAAAATACATTCAAGTGCTTTGTACTTTTTTTTACTATGTCGGACTGTTAGTTGGAGTTATACTAGGTGAACATTATAGAGAGTGTGGACAGTTATAAATTGAATCAATGCACGTCATTGGAAATTACGTACATTTGTGTTGCCGGACCAGTGTCAGTTCTTAGCAGCTGAAACGATATGTCTAAACCAGATGGTCCCCTTACGTTGTTGTTGATAGGTCAGTTCTTAAGTAATTTACAAGCTCTGCCCATTGGTTATCATGCTTTAACATTGAAACTACATCCTATACATTTTGTTTAGAACGTTAGCTACACTTCAACCAAGTAACTTATCATGAACCCAACTGTAAAACTCAGGTTGTTGTTTAGTTTTTAGTTTGTCATTCCTGAAATTTACAACGTTTCTTCTGTATCTAGCCTAGCATATGATTTTCATATCCAGTTATTCCAGAAAGATTAATTTCAACATCTAGTTGTTTAACGTAGAGATACTTTCGCTTCTTGCAATCTGAAATGCGAAAGTATTTTGTATGCTCGGTTGTAACTATATGTAATTATAAGTATAGAATAGACTAACTCAAAGTGTGGTAACGTACAGTAATATGCTTTTGTGCTGTTTCGATGTATCTGGCCGCATGCGGTGCAATGCCATGGAGACATATGTGATCGTGTGCAATCTTTATCCGGCCTATTCTTATTCTTAGTCCATTGTGTAACATAGCCGTGCGGTTTTTTCCTTATGTTCCTTCCAAAGCTAACTAACTGTAGCCAGCTCTTTATCTTTCACTCTTTCTTTGTTTGATGTTTATTTCATTGTGAGAAAAGTTGCTTCAAACTATTTTGTACGGGCATGGTTTTGGAACAAACTAAACAAGCAAATGAATTACAGTTATGCTTATAGTTATGTTTTTTTAGAGTTAATGCGGTTTTTGTGGAAGTTTTTTATGTATTAGATGTTTACCATTCGTTGCCACTCTCAATTTTAATGTGCTTTTAGTTATAAATGAGGTATCAATGAGCCACGGAGCGATGCCAAGTTTTGAGGTAATATTCTCCAATAAATTCTCAGCGATGACATTTTTACACACGTCCTGAGATGACTAAGTGCGGAAGGCAATAAGTTAATTTCCGAGTTTGGCTTTCAACTACGACATTTTATGAGAAATTCTCCCGTTGCCGGTGTAGGTAATTAGAATTGTCATCAACAACTGACTGTGGAATTGGATATAATTAAAGCAATCACATAGGGCAAATAGTGGAGTCGCCACGGATTTGCACACGAGTTATAACCGTACTGGTAAGTTAAATTTTAATATTGTCATTCCCTTTTCGATGCTGTAGGGGCAGAAGGTTGTTAATCCACTGTGTCTAGGACACGGCATTGCAAACTGGAACCCTTCTCTCTCCTTCCACCGCCTTTTACCTCCCCAACCAACGTCAGATAGCCATTTTAATCCTGGGTGGAGTGCTAGTGAGGAAAGTCGTGTGAACTGTCTTTCCCATAAGAACGCAACGTCTAGCAAGGAATGCCAGGAATCGAACCCGTGACCTCTCGATCTCGTGTCTGCTAGCTTAGCCACTCGGCCATTAGACGCCGTAAAATGAGAATTCAAATATTCCAATGAGATGAGAGCAAATTCACTCACTGCCACCACAGTTATGCCCAGATAGGACATGCCTTTGTATGTGTCTGCACTACAAGAGGTTACATGTACGTCTAGTCATTTTAAACTCTTGCATTGGTGATTTAAAATTGTGATCATGACAGAAGTGGAATTTTTACAAAATCATACCTACATTCGACTTGACGGTCGGTCATTGCTCAGTGCATCGATTTCGTGTATTGGATTATGAACATGTATGCACGCAAGGCTAATGTGGTTCAGCAATCACATTGAATTCTATCAAAATTGGTGCAGGACTAAATCTACAGACCCATGCCACTTTATACATACATGAGTTTACGTTTGTATGAGCTGAGTCGTTGTAGATAATTTAGGTAACGACTGTTTATATCTTCTGTAAAGTTTCTCAAAAATGATTCCAACACAATTTTAAACTCAATTACAGCGTCATACATCATGAATAAGGGACATAGTAGATATTCTTCAAGATGTACTTGATTTACATTGTCAAATGTTATAATCGTGCACTTGCATTCTACTCGACTACCTAGTAGTCTGATCATATCTACATTACCAATCAGACTATATCAATATCGTGCAACAAATTATAATATTTTTTTCTGAAAAACGTTACCATCCTATACTACACACCATGCATACAGTACAAGACATTGCAAAAGCTTATTTCGCATGATGCCCACCTGCCCCATGACCGTGTTACCTCGAGCACCGGGAACATGAAATGCCCCATGATCCCTCTGGCTGTCAACGTCTGCAAGGATGTCAAAGGGGTTCATGGCGACTTTCAGGACGATTTAAAAAGTCTGGTTTCTGAAAACATCATTTCTTGAATCTCGATTGCCCTATTGTAAGACGATATTTGGAGAGAGAAGAATTGCAATAGTTACAAAAGTGTGTCTTCAAAAGTGCTCGGACGTTGGTTTACAGCCATCTTTTGGGCTCTTTTCAAGTACCAAAATAATGCAAAAAGACCTAGGAATTGATATTTCGTATCAGCTGAATAAATTTAGATATCTGACATTTTAGCAATTTCACGGCAAAACTTGTTACCCTTCAATTGACCCACATTAAAATGTTGCACTGATCTACTGAGCCCTTTTGATAAAATGTTGCACTTATCTCCACCAAATTAAAAATGTTACACTGAACCTCTTAAAAATGTTGCAGAACTAGAGCCCATTTTAAATGCTGTACTGATCTGCTGAGCTATTTTAAAATGCTGCACTTAGCTCCTTTAAAAATGTTGCACTGGGCCTCTTAAAACGTTGCACTGGGCCTCTTTAAAATGTTGCACTGAGCCCATTTAAAAACGTTATACCGAGGCCCTATAAAACTGTTGCACAGAACTCCATTAAACATGTTAAACTGAACTTCTTTAAAATGTTGCACTGAGCCTGTTCAAAAATGTTTCACCGAGGCCCTTTCAAACTTTTTCACCGAGCTTCTTTGAAAATATTCCACGGAGCCCCTCCACACCTGCGTCCCTGTCCCCTGACCAGGATGTGCCGGTCCCCCGCCGTGCAGGCCCGGCAGGTTCGATGATTTATCACCGTTCATAAGCCAAGGATTATGACGAACTACCGAGACCAGGATTTACCGCACCTGTATATCAAAGCCCGACCAGGCCAGAGTGACAACCATTGTACATATGCGTGCGGTTACATCAAATGCAGGATGTGTAGATACAGATAAAGGGCGATGGAAGTAGAAAACAAATTTATCTCCCGCGTTCATTAATAATATTATATTAAGCTTCATGTCATTGCCATGACCAAACGTCCCTTTTTGGTAACCACCATCTGCTAACTACAAGTCCCGGCGATTTCTAAATGTTTAAACTATAATTATGTGGCAGAAATTATGTTTTTAAGCGTGAAGCCTGTCTTCTTGGAGTATCTAAGATTAACATTTTTCAACTGTGCTAAAATAGCACCAAAGAAAGATACTCAAATTTTATTAAACGCATATTTTGACAAAGTTATTTGCTGCAAAGATTTCCTCGCCATCTCCATCGTGTAAGAACGCGCTGTTTTAATATCTTGATAAATTCTTTTGTTAATTTGTCTTTTTGAAATTCCCATCTGATACAGTTGGCTGTGATAGATTTTCACTCCAATATCGGTGAACATAAAGGTCCTATATTTTTTTGGGGCAGTAGACTGTTCATCAACGGTGTCTAGGGCACGGTACCGGTGCTGGAAGGCGGTACCCCGTCCCTCTCCTCTCACAGCATGTCTGTTGCCTCACCGACCAAGAAGTCAATAACCCATTTTACACCCTGGGTGGAGTGAGGAAAGTCGTGCTGAGTGACTTTTCCAAGGACACTACGTCTATCCTGGAATGCAAGGAATCGAACCCGTGACCTCTCAATCTCGTCTTCGCTAACCTATTTAACGCACTCTGCCATTTAACGCAACCGATGTCATTGATACAGCAGTGATAAAACAACCTTTATGTCTTGTGACACATTCCATTAATCGTCTGTGTGACATTTGTGTCTTATGTATATATATATATTCACTTACACTGGCTTATTTTTGCTGATATTTAAAGTTTACCAATGTCAGTTCAGAAAAAAACGGGAACAGGAATCATGTTTCGTGAGTACTTCCGTTTACGTCAAATCACGCCCTTAACACGCCGTCACCATGGAGACCGGCCAGATGTTTGTACCTTCTCAAGAGGAGCGACTTCCGAAGTGTGGAGCATGGCTACATGATAAATATAGGTGATAAGGAACGGGGACGTACTGGTGTTGAAAATACAACAATTCGTGCGTGTACTATTGCTTACCTCTTCCCAGGGCGGACCAGGGCCAATACGTCGTGCGATGGTCGTACCACGAAATTAAAATCGTACGACGACCTACGATGAATGCGACCACGCCATATGGGCCACATATAAGTGTGTATGTGGTTCGCTTTACACACGGTACCCAATCCACAATGACCTAAAGTTCTGTTGGAAAACGTACCAAATCCGTTCATTGTGGATTGATGTTGAGATGAAGAATATGAAAAGTGGATAATAGATTAATATGAAAGTTGCCAAAAAAAGTTTGCTCAAGCAGTAGTCCTGATGAAATAATTAATTAACAACTTTTGATATATTTTCATGGACATAGCAGCAACCTGCATTATGAAAAAGTAAAGCTGTTGCAGTATAAAAGTGGTTGCAGTGCTCATGTCAAGTTTCAAAGAATTTTCTCGGAGTTCCTTACACGTCTAAGTAACAGATCATCTTAAAGCTATGTTCAGTCTTGTTCTTATCAAAACGACCAGAGGGGTCAAATCAGGATGTCACACAAAAAGTACCAAAATTCCTGTAACCCGTTCGTGTTGCTTTTAGACTTACAATCCATGACAGCTACAATGAATCTTTATCATAAAAAATACCTTCCAATATGAACCTACATATAGACATTAGATCTGAGCTATACACATTTGACGACAGACTGAGTAGTAAAGCATGCACCGTCTCATCGTATCACACGAGTCCCACACATAATCAACACCTAGCATGTTTCCCCTAGTCAATCAAAACGAGCTTAATGTTCCGGTAAGGTACGTAGCGTGGCTCCGTAGCACAAGAAGCGGCCTACCCCCGCCACAGGGCCCAAGGACGGACTCTGTTTGCCAACCGTCCCTAAGCACGGTCTCTCATATTAATGTCCTGATGGTGATCCTTAACAAGATAGGCCAGCGATA